TAATTGAGAGTGTTTCTGTGAGATTAAAGTCTGTAGTTCATAAGGTTATAAAAGATTTATATCTGTACTTCAAACCTTTCAAACAGAAATAAATTAATGTGTTCATTTGAACATATATTAAACAAATCTTGATATATTTAATTGTATTATAATTTTGTCAGAGCATAGAGTTCTTCATCTATAACCATAGACAAGCATCAAGCTTTTTAATATTAATACCACCATAAAGATTATCGCCCTCCGGTAATTAATGTATCTTTAATAAATTACTCTTCAAACACTTATAGTTTTTTATTTACGCAGACCCAAATAGAGAGTATTCATTCAAAGGGACAAGTACCTATTGACTTAGTAATAATTGTTGCAAATAATAATCGCGTATTTGTAGTATGTAGTAGTGAGTTAAGATATCCTGGAATTAGTAATAAATATACATTACTAGTACTTGAAATAGAACAATACCTAAAAAACTAAATAATGTTATATTATTATTTTTAATTCCATAGTTCCAATATGGTAACACGTAGTAGTTTTAAAGTTTAAATAGACAATATATAGTAAAAATATTACCCATATTTAAAATCATAACAAAATTTATATTAAAAATAATAATACATACTTAATGTTAACTCAAAAATTTTGCATTTTTTTTTTAAATATTATATAAAATTACTCAAATAATCTTAATTATAATAAAAAGTCATTTAACAAAATTTAAATGCAGCATGTTGTAACAGCGAGTCCTCCGCGTGTGTACTATAATCTACAACAGAATGGAAGACAACGCCATCTATGAATAACATGAGGAGGTTTGACATTGAAAGTAAAAATATTATTTAATTAGTTAAAATTATGTATTAAAATATATAGTGCTGTATGTAGTCAAAATATTAAATAAATACAAAAATTAAAAATATATATATAAAAGTAGTGAGAACGATAAAGTGACCAAAAGGAAGGTAATGTTTATGTTTTGAAAAATAGACGTTTAAAAATTTTGACCGCCTTTCACATATGTGTCAAAATATGTTTTTTAATTGCTTCCCAATATGTAGGGATATTGATGTGTTTTTACTTTTCGTAAAACCTTGATAATTTTTTCAGCAACCTACCATATAAGATATAATTTTAAAACAAATTAAAAAAATGTAATGGTTTTCTCCAAAAAAGAAACGATGTTTACAGAATTTAAAATATTATTTTCTGTTTGAAAATATGGACGAACTAATTACCCCTTCAACTTTAGTTACACGACGTATTTCTTCAAACTTTTACGAGTAAAATTTTTCAACAAATAACAGTCTGAATCATTATAAAGTACACTAGACATCTCTTATTCTGATTAGTGATAGAAAACAAACATAAATATATTACTATAAACATTAAGATTTTTCAAAACAACGTTCCCTGTAACTATTTCTAATTTATCAAGATTTTAGTACACGTTAGAATATGTAAAATGATTATGTATATTACTTACCAGACTGCTCTCTAGAGACTAGACTAGACTAAACATGACGTGCTATCCTCACAGACTTAGCATACATTGAACTTTAAGTATCTTAAAGTAGCTATCTACAACAATTCAAGACTCATTATTTAATGAGATCTAAGACTTTCGCGAGAGTTCATTTAAATGAAACTAATATTTTTCGTATATACTAAACTTGCTTTATTATTTTAATCTCGTCTTAATAATCTATGTTGCTGTAAAGTAACCGAAACGTCGGGAGTATGTAGTTTTTTACATAGAGCCCGGGAAGTATAATACGAAAAATATTATTTTCATTTAAACTCTTTATTTAATTTTATAATCAGTGAAAATATATTTGTTACTTTTATTTAATAAAAGCACATTGAACACAGACTCCTCATTACTATCTTCTGCTAACTCCGAATTTCGAGTATTTTTTTAATTCAATCTAATTGAACTAAGAACTATATTTGTTTAAAGAATATTAGATGTTATAGCTCTTCTTTAAATGGACTAGTAAATCTGTACAATATTTTAAAGTATCTTAATAAATATATAAATAGATTATGAGATTACCGACAAGTAATTACTCACAGTAAGGTGAATAATGATTCATATTTTTTTATCAAATCAAGACTAAGTACATGTACCTAAAATGTTCACATAATTTCTATAATAAGTACATAATTTCATAATAAATTTATTTCCATTTCATTTATTTTCAATACAAATGAATGTAAACAGTACGGAATGAACAAAGAGTGAAATGAGTCGTAATAATAAATCCCAAAATAGTAAGTCGCGGCGCGCGGTGGCTGCAGATGTACTTGTAACCGGTCACCCCAACTATTCACGCGGCCCCGTTTAAAAAGCTACCAGATTGTTTACCTCATTTTTACCTTTTTTTAAAGTTCTGTTCAAGTTTTTTGTATTTATTTCTGTCGTGGCACGAGGCCGCCGCCCTTGAGAGTCCTCGGAGCGTGCGTATTGTGATATATGTCGCTGTAATTCGCTTTTAATGTTCACTAAATACAGATCACAGATAAATGGCGCTTGTCAGGAGATAACGATTATTATGTTGGAAATGTTATAATGATTCTATTATTATTAGATTTATTAGTATAAAAAATATTTTACAAGTGTTGGAAGATTGATATGTACTCGAAGTGTTTAAACAGACAGACAGACGGAAACAAAACCATTTTGCTGTATCATATTTAAAGAGGATAGTAGTTTAAATTAAACTAATATTTTTCAGATATACTACACGGTTAATTTACGTAAAAAACTACATACTCCCACATACAAACAATTTTACAAAACGTTTTTTAACGTTTTAACGAAAAATATTAGTTTCCTTTAAATGAATAAAACTCGCGAAAGTCGTATCTCAGCATAGTACTTAGTTAATACAACGATTCAATTATGAAAGACTTAGTATAAAATATTAAGTTTTATGATAATTTCTCATAAATTCGTTATTCCAAATCGTAGTATTTTCTGTGTAAAAAATGTTTACTCTTGAACATTTCCATGAATTTCAAGAGACATTTGATACTAGCGTGTTACAAGTGACGCCCTCTGTGCTCTACTAATTATAAGATAATTTTCCTTAGAATTATTTTGATCACTGATTATAATTAATTAAAATGGTGGTTTTCCAATTACAGAGCATAATGCAACTCAGTGGCGCACAATGACGAAGTGTGCTAGCAGCTAATGCTTAATTGGAACGTGAATTAGTTTTCTATTGCACCAATAGAGTGCGCTAATTTCAGTGTTGAGAATAAAAATAGTCAACTTGACATCCTCATCAATGTATGAGTAAAGTAATATAAAATAATCTTTGGTTGAAAATTATTTACGCTTATATTAAGTTATTTGAATTCTGATTATTTAATTAATAGTTTTTATTAAAAGAATTATATGCTTTTTAATTGAATCATGGTTTTAAAATTCATCTTTTTAAAATGGAAACGTATTCACATTTTATGTATAGAATATAAAAATAGTCAATGTTTATACCTTCATCCATCCTTACATTTACTTTGTAACAGTCTGAATAAAGTTTTTGAGTATTTACAAAAAACCACAAGACGAAATTTTAATACTTTTCTCAACAAGAAACAATACTAATTACTTAAATGAAACTAATATTTTCGCATTTACTACGAAATTTTTATTTTTGACTACCTGACCCGGCAACCTTCGTACTGCCGTGATTGAGAAATAAATAATTTTTATTTATTTTTTTGGAGTTTACCTTTAAGCCATAAATCTCCGTGTTCTGAAGTGCGACAGAATGATTGACATATTAGTTACTTGTCAAAGCTAATGTCAAGAAAAACATTTGTATGGGAAATAGAAAAGGGCTGTTTTTATTTTTTTTCTCGGTTTTCCCGTAAATTAATCAATTTTTATCAGTTTTTAAACCTTCTCTGAACCTCTACGATCATTTCAAGACTTAGATAAGATAAACCCTTTCAGCCGGTCTCGAGTTTTAGTAAAAGTAACGAACAGCAATTCATTTTTATTTATATAGATTATAAATTACATACTCCCGGCGTTTCGGTTACTTTACAGCAACCGTGATCACGGGCAGACAGGATGACATAAATAAAATTTCGATCAAATTCAACTTAAAGAAAAATTATCTGTTAATTTTCTAGCACTGAGATTGCACAAAGCAGTACTTTTAAGTGTGCTTGATTGTGTAAAGCGTTGCTGTAGTTGGAAACATTCAATATTGAGCATTATGCCGCATATTGCGCCCTGGTACTGTAATTTTAAAACCACCAATACTCTTCTTCTACCTGTCAATTTCCCAGCTTTAGCCAGGGTCTTCCTTACATGTTGTGAATAGTTTTGACTAATTGTTTTTACGACCGGCCGCAACCTGACATCAACCCTCTTTGGGAAAACTACCAACACTGAACCATTGTAATATTGTATGCTACATTTAAGTATCAACCTGTATTTAAAAAAATACTGGCTTCAGCTATTTTGTAACACATTACTGTTAGTAATGAACATTGAAGAAACAAATTTGAAACTGTTTTTAATAGGTGTACTTATTCAATGATCTACTTTCATACTGTAAGGAGATATATGAAGGATAAACTGTTAACGCTACGTATGTAGTGACGATACTAACTTGGACTAAGAGTATTGTTTTCTATTACCACAGATAGCGCTTTTGGCGCCAAATATTATTGTAAAAAAATACAGATGTTTTCACCAACTTTAATATGCAGTTAGACTTAAATATATGTATAGGAAAAAAGGAAAAAAAACAATAGTTATGTTAACAAATTTATTTATTTACATTTTAGTAAAGATTTGATATAAAAACATATCGCAGATGTATGAGAAGTTTTAAATAAATTGACAGATGATAATTTTTATTAGTCATTTTATACAAAATGTCTTCTTAATGAGTAGGAAAGCTCGTGTCTTATTATTATTAATACTTATTAATAATCTTTACTCTCATTCTTTTCATATAAATATTAACAATTTCTTCTGCTCAGTTCTGGCTGCTCGCCAGGTATTCCTTGTACTTCTTCTCCTGGAGCTGCTGTAATTTCTGCAGCTTCTTTATTAGTCCCTTGCTAAGCTCCTTGCCTTCTATGTCATGAGTGGGCAGGCCCTGGAAACATACATAAATACATAAGGTTTATTTAAAGATAATTAGTATTAGAACCACCACATACACTGATTTTTATTATTTGAACATGAAATATAACTTTTAAATATATTTCTTTGTTCCTATATATAATATATGACAGTAATATTTGTATACGACAATTCGTCAGAAAATCTAGAAATCACTAAATTGACAGTTTGTGTTGCTCTGAAATGTCAGAAAAACGACGTTTAAAGTTATTAATTAACTTGTTAATTCCTCTATCACTGAAATATAATATAATTATTTTTATTTAAACACTATTCCATATTTAAAACCTATTTTTTTCTGTAATGACATAATTCTAATGTCAGAAGCGGCATCTATTGATAATAAAGTGTAAACCTGAACTGTTTTATCCACAAACATAAAAAAAATCTAATTTCTTTATACAGGGTGACTGGTGAATTACTATCGATATTTGAGGACGTGATATTTGACGATCATATATGACAAAATAAAAATTAATATAACATAAATATTAATAAACTTCTAAGTAAAGTTAACCAAAAGTTATGTAATTAATTATGCATCGTGTGAACACCCTACAGATTAGGTATACACTGACACTCACACATACGCATGTCGTGACGTGGTGTTGTATCAACACGTCGCCGCACGCGTCCACACTTGAACACTTGGAACGTGTCAACACTTTACTTATTTATAGGGAAATTTTGTCAAAAATTAAGTACCTATTTTTTTTACATAATTCGAATGAGAATCATGTACCGAGTATGCTCCTTAAATATTGATAGTAATTCACCAGTCACCCTGTATATGTATATTTATGGAACACACGTTTAATTTGAACCGAACCTTTAAACTCCCCAACGCACCCGAAGTGACGTTAAAGCGATGAAGTCTGGTTTGTTCACTTTTACGCGGGAAAGTATTTTGTCAATACGACTTGTGTGTTTGTAAATTGAATTTAACTACGGAGTTTAAGTTTAAGACAATATTTAGTTTGCTCTTCTTAAGGTGTTATTGTTATTTAAAAGTGCTGGCTTTATACGAGGGTCAAACTGAAAGTACTTAGAACTGGCCACTTATAAACAATATAATAAAAAAATAATTCTAAAATTTGAAAATAGAACTCTGCCAATATTACTGAGTATATATTTCATATATTTGTCATTTGTTTTACGATTTGGCGGCAAATTGAAAATTGTCTGTGTCACGTCAACATAAATTTAACACGAGAAAATGATTTTTTATGACTTTAGATGTCATTTAAGTCAACAAGAAAGTTATGATAGACTACGATTGGCCTTTCACGATGAGGCCCCATCTCGTGCGACTGTTTACAACTGGTTTAATGAGTTTAAACGTGGTCGCACTAATCTCAATGATGATTTACGAGAGGGACGGCCTTCTACGGCGACGACTGAAGATAACATCTGTGTTTTGCGGCGTATGATAGAGACTGACATAAGAGTGACCTATCAGCAGATTCGGACAAGCTTAGGCATCGGTATGAGTCAAGTGCACAAAATCCTCCACGAACATTTAGCGGTCAGGAAGCTTTGCGCCCGGTGGATACCTCATAATTTCACTGAGGCTCAAAAACTCCATCGTGTTTATTTCCGAAAATGAAAGAAAAACTTAAAGGAAAGCGGTTTATGAATGCTGAAGACGCGGTGGCTGCGTATCGCGATGCCATTGAAGAGACCCCTAAGGTCGAGTGGGCAAAGTGCTTTTCCCAGTGGTTCCATCGCATGCAGCGGTGTATTGACGTGAATGGACAATATTTTGAAAATATATAATAAAACTAATAACTGGCTAATGTAATCAGTTTTTGATTTTCTAAGAACTCTCTGTTTGACCCTCGTAAGAAAAATATATTTTTATAATAATTTTATTACTTTCCTAAGTGTATATATAATGGTATGTGACCGACCTGTTCGTCAAACTTGGAGTACTTCCCCTCTCTACGGAACATCTCCTCCGGCGGTATCTTCTTCTGTTCGTCCTTCATCCTCTGAGCGTCAGCCAGTTCCTTCTTCTTCTTCTGTCTCTCTTCTTCTTGCCTCTTCTTCTCTTCTCTTTCCTTGATCAGTTCGTCTTTATTGACAAGCTTCAAGACCGTCCTATCTGTAATAGTGCATAAAGAAGAATGTAAGATTGCAAATCTATATATTCTCTGAGCTTAGTTTGCAGACTTGTTGTAAAATATATAGAGATTATATACAGAAAAACATACAATTAATATACATATATAGTGTGGAGAGTGTAGGTGATTATCTTCTGAGTTCATGCTATTAATGCTATTAATATGATAGATTCCAAACTTCGTGAGTATTTATGGATCTTTGTTGGTGATTCTGGCGAAAATTTGCAATAATGGAACTTTATATGTATATATTTTATGCCGTCCGTATAATATGCACGGAAACACATCGCTATACTTCTATAATGTATGTAGTCACATTACACACGATAGATGTTGCTGGCCGTCATTTGACAAAACTATTAATTACTAAGACCCAGTTTCACCAATCAATGTTAAATAAGTAACATCTTGCTAACGCGTTTGATGCTCTGTTAGATGTATCGAGCGTCCCACCACGCACAAATGTCCGTTTAAATGTCTTAACCAGCCACTAATATTAATTCCTGCTCTGGAGCTCCGTCTAATGGTTAACCAAATGTTAATGCATTGTCAAAACTCAATCGTCCAATCACAGCCCTGATTTCTTATAACCATAGTAACGTCATCTGTTTTGTCAGTTTCGACTATTTCCTTGTATTTATTAATAAGGTGAATTGAAATTGCATTTCCTATGATGATTTTGAATCAACCTTTTCTATGACATTGCAAATTAAATTTTCTTTTTATCTCTTAAATTTGAACACAATTTATGTCTATATTTATAACATAAAAATATATAACACAATTTATTGACAACCCGATTTTGACAGGTTACACCTAGTAAATTGAAAAGAAAGCTTTTTGTGTGCCAAATGTATGCAACCAATATATAAAATTTGGTCGCATTACCTTACAAGTGACGTATCGAGGGATATATACGATCAAAGTATAAAGTGGTGCATCGTGGCATACGTGCCGTATTAAACGCTATAGTTTCCACTTGGTTGTCTTATAACAAGAACGAATAATTTGGTAGTCGGTCATTTGACATGACGTTTAATAATGCGTTGTTAATTTGTCATCGTGGGACGTAAATATTTTAACAGACATTTATAATTTTGAAGGTTGGTTAGTAAATGCTGGGTTTCGATTAAACAAACATTGATTGGTGAAACTGGGTTTAAATCTTCTAAAACCAGTGTAACATGAACTCGCGTGTACCAGGTTTATCCTCGAGCCTCACACCCAGCTCGGGCAGCAGGTCGTCTCTCAGCTGGTCACATAAAGCCAGCACCTCCCCAGCCCCTACTTTCCTCGCCGCGGACCGCACGCCCGCACGGAATGAACCCAGCACCTCTAAGTACGGCATCACAGCCTCTTCCAACTGGAATATAGGTAAGACCTGTTATTTTTTTTTATTTATTTATTTCCTAGTAATTACAATGGCTTACAATTTTTTTTTTGTTCTCACCAAGCTATTAGGCTTGACGGTGAGACGCGCTCATTTTGTTTAACAAATACAAAAATAAAAATAATGGTTCACAAAAAAATGAAGAAATAAAAACATAACAACTTATTCTTAAAAACTAAAAGTAAATCAACACTATGTATAATATTGACTACTATGTGTTATGAAGACCTGGGGCGATATAACTGTTACCTTATATCTCTATAGATATGCCCACCATATACCAGTAAGGAAAATTTGCAAGTTGTATTCACCTTAATAGGTAATGCATTTAGTTTTAAGTTTTATAAAAATTGTATACCTTTGTATGTATTAATGCATTAACCACTGGTAAATCTTAAATAAATGAATAAGTTATATTACTATGGTGTGTTAAATGTATTGATGTGAAATTTCATTGAAATAAATACGGAGAAATTTTAGTGATAGACTTACAAATACGCGTGCATACTATACTTCAAGTTCATAAAGGAAGTAGCATGTATTTGAACTCAGGGACGAACGATTTCAGATCTAAGGGATGTATTCTGAACTTTCCAAAGAGTTCTTTGGAGATCTTTTATGAGGACATTAACCTGGGTGAATCTTATAAGCTGATGAAGAATTTATTTATTATTTTGGAGAGCCAGAACAAACGGGAGATCTACCTCATGAAGGAGTAAGTACTGGGTTCAGGTGTGGTAGTGATCTTAGGATAAGTGGGGAACATTTTCAGAAATAGATTTCTGTGTCTTTTATCACATAAAACCCATAAATATTCTCTGAGGAAATGTAGTTCCAGCACATGACAGGTTACTAAATGGATATCCTAACTCTTCCACTCATACATTTAAACTCATGGAAGTACAAGACATCTTATCCGGGATCACTACATACTTATATAAGTCTTACACAGAAGACACAATACTATTTTCAATCCCCTATACAATGATTCATATATTCATGCTTGGAACGTACAGAGAAGACAGCCCTAATAGGTTCTTTTCAAATTTGATTAGGTAGAGAGAGGAGCTTGTACAGTGGAGGTGAGCGTTTAACGTGTTAAATAGGGGTCCCTTAAACCTACACCTGGGTCACAAGTCCTAGGCACTGTTGAAGCTCCTCTCACTACAACGATGGACCCGAAACACGCACGGTGAATACATTGAATACTGAGAGGTTTCTTCTCGTAAATATTCATTATTATTTCTGTTCTCACCGCCACTTCTCCCGCGCCGGCCGTGGGGAACCCTATCAGTCCCCTTGGGCCCTCGATGACCCCGAACACATGCAGTATGTCCGTGACGTAGAGGGCGGAGGCTCGCAGCAGCGGGGCGCTCCGGGGGCCCGCGGGGACTCCGCCCAGGTACACGTGGCACGCGCTCACCAGCTCACGGAGCGCGTCCAACGATGAACGAGTGTCGATGTTATCTGGAAAAATATTATTGGAATACAAACAACTGTTTCCACCTCAGACTCATTTGTTAGTGATGTATAAGGGTCTCTAAAGAATTCCTCATATTATTTAAATGAAACTAATATTTTTCGGATATACTACGCGTGCTTTGCCTTTGCCTTGAGCTTAAAGGAGAACTGTCACTTTACGCTGACGATACTACCTTATTCTATTATGGCAATAAAATAGAAAATATAATTCAAGATGCTCACGATGACTTGAACTTACTCAATGTTTGGTTTCAGTCCAACCTGTTAACCCTTAACGTAAACAAAACACATTGTCATATTTGCAGCAAAAAAAAAAAAAAGAAAATAAACAATTTTGAACCTCTAACCATTAATAACATAATTATAAGCTGATCAGATAGCGAAAAATATATAGGTTTAACTTTAGATAACAAGCTTACGTTTAACCCACACATTAAAAATATAAAATCAAAATTAGTGTCTTTGACTGGTGCTCTTCGCAATATAGTGCGTTGCCTTCCCCGCAGAGTCCGTTACATAATCTATAACTCCCTAGTCAAGCCACACTTGGATTACCCAATATAAGTTTAAGGTTCTGCTGCTCAAACTAACCTTAGAATATTACAAACAGCACAAAATAAACTGATAAAGATACTATTTCACTACGATTACTTTACGCCAACAGAGACAATATAATATAAAGAAGCAAAATTGATGAATATAAAAAATACACATGCATACTAATTCCAAAAATTTTATGAAATGAAATACACACAAGTATAAACTTGTCTTTAAAAAACAATAATCCGCAATACCCATATCTAAGAAATGCAAATAATATAGTATTACGTCCCCCAAGAACAAACTATGGTAAAAGAAATATAACATTTGAAAGTGCTCAGATATATAATAACCTTCCTAAAAGTATAAAAGAAATAAAAAATACACGTAGCTTTAAAAAAATACTAAAAGATCATCTATTAAATAAGACTACCTAATAAAAGAAAACGTATTCTATTAACGAACAAATAAATATATAAATAAAAATAACTAAAACCATTCAAAAACATAAAATACTAGAAGACCTGGCGAACTTCGTATCGCCTTATAATCAAGAAATGTCTATTACGTTTTTTTATTTATATTTTTGGAGTTTATCTGTAAGCCATAAATCTCCGTGTTTTGAAGTGCGACAGAATGATTGACATATTAGTTAGTTGTCAAATCTAATGTCAAAAAAAAACGTATGTATGGGAAATAGAAAAGGGCTGTTTTATGGTTTTCCCAGTAATGAATCAATTTTTTCAGCTTTTATACCTTCCCTGAACCTCCACGAACATTTCAAGACTAAGATAAGATAAATCCGTTCAACTGTTCTCGAGTTTTAGCGAGACTAAGGAACAGCAATCCATTTTTATATATATAGAAGAAGAAGATACAAATACATTCATAACAGCGGAGAAATAATTAATAAATAAAGTAACTATCTAAGAAAAATAAAAAAATAATAAAACTGTTGAAAAGTTTGTTTTAGTAATGTCACGTCTATGTAGTTGTAATTTGTCAGTGAACATTTTGTAGTGATGAATGTTGATATACAAAACTAAACACTTATTGATTTATGTTTTGATGTATGACTTGTTAAATATACTTTTATTTTGTATAATAATATTTAAGAACCTAGTTTCGTACGCTCAAAAATGTAAACATTTATGTAAATAATTTTGTCAATTAGTTTTAAGTTTCATTTAAGTGAATATGTAATATTCTTTCTTCTTCTTCTTCTTTCATGACATTCTTTATGACACAATAAATATCTTAAACCTTTTATGCGTGCTTTATGTAAAAACTACATATTCCCGACGATTCGGATACTTTTCAGCAACCGTGATCATTAAGAGGAGATGTGAATGATGAAAAATAAAGCACGCGTGGCAATCCGAAAAATATTAGTTTCATTTTAATGATTAAAAGTCGCGAAAGTTTTAGATCTCATTATAATTCCTCAAATCAGCCGCTCATATATTTTACAACTACCACGAGTCTTCTCATCCTACTAATATTATAATTTCGAAAGTTTGTGTGTGTATGTGTACGTTTGTTACTTCTTCACGCTCAAACGGCTGAACCGATTTTGATGAAATTTTGCATACAGGAAGATGACGTCCAGGAATAAAACATGGCTACTTTACATCCCGGAAATCACCGTAACACCGCGGGGCGCAGCTAGTTGTAATATATTTCTCACCACAGAGCGCGAGGTGCACGTTTTCTTTAGCCGCGGTGATCGCCCCCGCCAGGCGCCGCTCGGCCTCCCCCCACGGACCCTCGGTGTCCCGGAGACCTCGGAGAGCGTCCTTCACGGTCAGGAAGAACTCCTGATAGATAATCAATACATTAGTGATTTATTTTAATAGAGGAGATAATATTAATAAGTCAGTGGTGGCCTAGTGGTCAAAAGGCCCGCCTCTCATGCACGAGGGTGCAGGTTCGATCCTGGCAAGAACCAATGTGATTTTTCCGAGTCATATGTACTTTCTAAGAATATTTAGACATCACTGATTAATGCTGATTCCCAAAAGAGGGTTGATGTCAGGCAGGCGGCCAGTAGTAAAAACAATTAGCCAAAACTATTCACAACATGTAAGGCAGACCCTGGCTAAAGCTGGGAAATTGCCAGGTAGAAGTAGAAGAAGAAAAGCTAGTATCCTGGTTTAGTATTATCAGTACCAAACTGATAATACTAAACCAGGACATTGTTGTAGAATGGTTGATGTATATAGCTCGTCATCAGCCTATCGGAGCCCACTGCTGAGCCTCTTCTCACATGGAGAAGGTTTGAGCATTAATCACCACGCTTGCTCAAGACGTGTTGGTGATTTCAAAGAAATTGTAAACTATAGGTCCAGGTTTCCTCACGATGTTTTCCTTCATTTGTCAGTGATATCTAAATACTCTTAAGTACATATGACTCGGAAGAATCACTTAGTACTTGCCAGGATCGAACCCGCGCCCTCGTACACGAGAGGCGGGCTTTTAACCACTAGGCCACCACTGACTAAGCTAGTGTTTGGTACTAATAGTACTGAATGAGGGATCTTGTTAAAGTGGTCATAAGTTTAACGTGTTTACATTGAACAGCCTCTCAGTTTGGAGCGCCATGTCCATAGTGTTTTGTGAGTAGTCCAAAGTTTCTCGCCAGCCGTGGAGCAAGAAGGCCAGCCGCAACTGACGCGCCGAGTGCTGGGTCAGGGCTTGTTGGATGCTGATGAAGTTCTTCAAGGATTTTGACATCTTGCAGCCAGATATAGTGAGGTGACCCGTGTGGAGGAAGTAGTTCACCCAGCCCGGCTTGTCGAAGTGAGCCTGGAACATGATAAGGATTATAGAGTAACTAGAAGACACGGCGAACTTCGTATCGCCCTACAATCAAGAAATATCTGTTACTTTTTTTATTTATATTTTTGGAGTTTACCTATTAAGGACATAAACCTCCGTGTTTTGAAGTGCGACAGAATGATTGACATATTAGTTAGTTATCAAATCTAATGTCAAAAAAAAACGTTTGTATCAACAACTACTAATAAATTAAATACATATTAAGTAAAAAAACATTGTCCAGCGGATAAAATTTTGAATCCAAAGAATTCCCAGATCCCCTTGAACACACACAAAAAATTTCATCAAAATCGGTCCAGTCGTTTGAGAGAAATTCAGTGACATACACACGCACAGAAGAATTATATATATAAAGATTACAGTGTGTGTGACGGAAATAGCAGTATCATTAATATATAGTACTAGCTTTCCGCCCGCAGCTTCGCAGTGGAGTTCGGTTATATCGCGTTTCCAAGAGAACCTTTCAAAAGTCTGAGATAAAAATTATTCTGTTCTTTCTCAAGGTCAACTCTATATCTGTACCAAATTTCATTGAAATCATTTTAGTAGTATAGTCGTGAAAGCGTAATAGACTAACAGACAGAATTACTTTCGCATTTATAATATAAGTAGAGATGACCTGGAATAATATATAAATACTACTGAAACTATGGACATATAAGAGTTTAGAGTGGTTATAATAATAAGAAACATCCCCATTCAACACAGACCTCGCTCTGAGCCAGCTCGTTGTCATGATGGGGAAACTTTAGGTCTACTCCTCCCGTGTGTATGTCGAGGTTGTCTCCGAAGACATCAGAAGCCATGGCGGAGCACTCTATGTGCCAGCCGGGACGCCCGCGACCCCAAGGCGACTCCCACGACGGCTCGCCCGCTTTACTCTGCTTCCAGAGAGCGAAATCATTGGGAGAACGCTTCTCACCTGCACTATCGGTTAAATCACCTGGAAATATAAAGAAACTAATATTATAAATGCGAAAGTAACTCTGTCTGTCTGTTACGCTTTCACGCCTAAACCACTCAACTGATTTTAATGAAATTTGGTACAGAGATGGAGTTGACCTTCAGAAAGAACATAGGATTTTTAGAAGGTTCTCTTGGAAACGCGATATAACCGAACTCCACGCGGGCGAAACTGCGGGCGGAAAGCTAGTAAAGAAATATTTCTATGAGTAACTAGAAGGTACATTGAAGATGTAGTAATTTAAATATTTACTTTGAAATCAACTTGCCTTCCCCTTCCTGCAAAGACTTAGTGTCTCCATAGGCCTCCGGGACAAGCCTGGCATAGTAATGCTTGTCTTTGCCATCAAACTCGCTCACATTGAAATACACAGAACCATTTGACTCGTAAGCCAGACCGTTGTCAATAATCTTCTGGATGAAGGTAATAATTTGTGGAATGTACTCACTGACTCTTGTCAACACATCAGGCGGCAAGACCTGGAAATATAATAAGAGCATGATAAATCATTGAGTTTATTTATGTTATGTATTAGTTATGCTTGCTTGGTATTGTTAAAATAATACAATGTCAAGTGTAATGTAGGTAGATAACTTTATTATATTAGTTGTTGCTACTTAGCACAATACATACATGACAAATTTAATATAGTTTTAAATGAAACTAATATTTTTCAGATATACTATGCTACTTTATTTTTGATAAAAACTACATACTCCCGACGTTTCGGTTACTTTAAAGCAACCGTGATCGCGGGCAGACACAATTTAATCAAAAATAAAGTCGCATAGTATATCCACAAAAAATTAGTTTCTTTTAAATGAATAAAACTGGTGAAAATCTCTGATCTCATAATATAGTTTTATTAAATACTACAATTTAATAGGTGACAGTTATTAATAAAAAAAAAATAATCTTAAACCCATTATTATTTTGAGTGAAGAATAGTGTGAACTTACATTAAGAGCTTTCATATCTTTATGGAACTCATTTTCCCAATATCTCGGCAGTGTTTGAAATATCCCATTATCCGTTACAGTAGCTCCATACTTCTCATCCAACCAGACTGATATTGGATCTTTAGCAGTTTTTAAGAGATCATTTTTCGCTTCTTCAATTTTATCCGATTTATTTTCTTGTAAGGCTGATTTTAAAGTTTTTACAGCTGAAGCGACACTGAAATTATTAAACTTTTGATACTAAATAAAACATTATTACTTATTTTAGGATTTAGTAAATTTGAAATGTATACCGACCTATCCAGCATTTTTTGCAAGGTGTTCTTTTTATCGGGATCATTGGCTTCTCTCACTATACCTTCATAGAAGTCTATGACTGCGGTTGCATCGTCAACAATCTGATCTAATGTTTTTGCTTCTTTAACATATTTCTCGTACAAGTAGTTCTGTCTGGCTCTCTTTATAATTTTATCATCGATATCAGTGATGTTCATAGCATACAACACATCATACCCAAAGTAGTTAGTCAACACTCGTCTCAGAATGTCAAATGATATGTACGACCTGGAATTAATGGTGAAGGAAACCTTTTATATAGTTTGAGGAAGATTAAAGTGACATGTTATGGCATAATTATACCGTGTCGGTTGATAATGGTCATGCTTTTATCGAGTTATGAATTAGTTTCGATCGAATTAACAATTATATTATAGTTAGTGAGTTATTATAATATATTAAGTACTTAGTGAGTTACCTCGCGTGACCCATGTGCGAAGCGTCGTACACAGTTGGCCCACAGCTGTACCAGTTCACTCGATTCCCGTGACCACAAACAAATTCCTCTTTCTGTCGGGTCAAACTATTATAGAGATTTAAAACCGGTCGTTTCACCTTAGCGGAAGGCAAAGACCAATTTGGTTGTGTTCTTTTAGCCATTGTAAAGTTTTTTTAACAACAATAAGTGAACTCAAATTAACACTTCACACACACTATTAACTCATTCAAAACTGCCACGTACCGCTGAAATTACAAAATACTCGTGCACATCAAAATTTTCGATTCCAACCTACCGCTACGCTAGCTGAAAGTGACAACCGCAACATGCAGCTGACAGACTGACATTGTCACCTGATTATGACATTGATAGTTACTATCGGTAATAGAAGATGGAAATATCGACTATAGATAGATTGATAATGCTTAAAAAGGCTTTAAAATTCATATTAAATCTCTTATGGAGAAGAAATTTTAATATTGAGACAAAATGTAGTAAATATCATGCAAGTATATGTCATAAATAAATGGTTATATTTTAAGTAAATTCAATGGTGAAGCAGTGTTTATTGTAGATTTCTAATCTGTGCGTATCTCTTGCTTTAAATATTTTGCTTACTGTGGTTGTTGTTTAATAATCGTTTTAACCAGTTTTATATCTCTTTCTACTAATAGTAAAGATTGTAATCCTAGAGAGGGAGAGAAAATAATTCGTACAATATACGAAATGTTGAAGATTTTGGTGTAATGATATTCGAAATTATAACTTATTTTCTATTTAATTACGTTCATATTTGATAGTATGCTTTAAAATACCCAAATCCTTGTGGAACCCGAGTGTATGTCGTATGACAATAAATAGGTACTATATATATGTACGAAAATATATCATAAATAACAAACGCGTTATCCAATGAACTACTTTGTACGACTGTACTACGTTCTTGTATATTTTAATATTCTTTTTAAAACTTCTTTTATATTCTACACATAAAATGGCTCTCTTCGTCTGTAAATGTTTAAATGTATCGTTAGAAAGTGATAAATTAGAAGATATTCTCGACATCGGGAAACTGGAGTTATCTTTAGCGGAACAAAGAGATATTTTTTTCAGTGAGGTACGATCGGTAAACATTATTTAACCTTGACTTCATGGGCTCTTGCTGTATTTTAATTGATAATTTAACTTTTAATTCATAGAATAACCTACTTATTAACAGATTTAGTTTCTGAGCCACAAACTAAACTATAAATATTTACAGAATTCCAAAACAAAATGTCATTTTAATAACTTGTTTACTTTGTTTCTATTTTTAAAATTAAGTACGTAAATTATGTAACAGGTGGCCAGGGAAAATATTATAATACGTTCTTTATAATAAAAATAACTGATATATTTTTTATCGTGTGTACAAAAAAATTTAACAATAACACAATAAAAAAGTGATTTTGTTTTGATAAAAAATACTATTTAATTTGTTATAAAAAGAATTATAATGAATTTATTTTTTGTAGAAACTATCAGCATGTACAACCAGTTCATTAAAGAGTCATGTGGTTCAACCTGCTTTAATTGGTCACCGAGTAGTTGGTCGGTTCAGTCTGGAAACCTGCCTGGCTTGTGGGCAAACAACTCGAGCTTTGATGCAGGAAAGAAACTTGGTTTTATTGGCCAAGTCCCTTCAAGTGAGTAGAATAAATAAAGTTGACACAACTCTAATATTAGGAATATATAGAAGCTTTGCACTTTAGGAATGTTAATTAAAGAATAACAATTGAATGATTATCTTCTTCTACCTGGCAATTTCCCAGCTTTAGCCAGGGTCTGCAAATTGATCGATTATATACTTATAAATTGCTATAAATTTTCAGACGACACAAGAAAATATAAATAATCTGAAAAAGAGTGAAAACTTCTCACCGGTATTTCACTTATTGGTGCCAGAGGTGACAAATGACTTGGAAATGAAAGAAAATATAGACACAAATAACCAATACTATAGTGAGAGGAACGGATGCTCGCCGTCATTACAAGTCATCGGAGCATTGAAGAAACAACTGAACCAAACGTTAGAGTCTCAGCTGGAGGCTATTGAGGAAACCGTGAGGCAGTTCAAAGATCAGAAATATGCGGAGTATGAAGAGTACAGAGTGAGGGCGCAGAGGGATCACAAAATATTATCTAGGTAGGTGTTTAACTTGCAATTTCTTGCTATTTCCTTGTTCCCACACCTACCTTTTCTCAATAACTAAAGTTGGCAAGACATCGGCAATATTTATGTTGTGGATATCTATGACCGACGGTCACTACTGCCCATCAAGTAGGCTGTATGCTTGTTTGCCATAAAAAAGGTATTTAACTCAAGGTATTAATTGTTTTAAGAACATTAATTAATTATTAGTCAGTGGTAGCCTAGTGGTTAAAATGCCTGCCTCTCATGCATAAGGACGCGGGTTCGATCCTGGCCCGGGCAAGTACCAATGTGATTTTTTCGAGTCATATGTACTTTCTAAGAATATTTAGACATGACCGATTAATGCATTCCCAAAGAGGATTGATGTCAGGCAGGCAGGCCGGTCGTAAAAACAATTGGCCAAAACTATTCACAACATGTAAGGCAGACCCTGGCTATAGCTGGGAAATTGCCAGGTAGAAGAGAATTAATTGTTTATTAATTATATTTTCAGTATTATAAATAAGACAAGAACGAACTTTGACAATGACGGCTGGAACAACTCCTTAGACAAGATACCCTCGCCCACACTACAGAGACGGAGACTCTCCTCCATTAAAGATGCCAAAAAATTCACTAAATATGTTAAGGTAACTATAATATGTATATGTAAATGGAAATGTCTGCTTTTGTGAGGAATGTTGTAGAAGGTATGAGATAAAGCTCCTTATAGAATCACCAATATACATTAGATATTGTTTTATGTATAGGAAAATTTTGTTCAATTTGTAGAATATATTTATATAAAGTATGAAAGTATAGAATAGTCGTGAATATCACTCTTTGTCCAAGCATGTCCTAGCTTCAATTATAATATCAAATACAATAAATTAATATATACAGTTCAATTTCTGACAAATCCCTACTAATATTATAAATACAAAAGTAACTGTCTGTCTGTTTGTCTGTTACGCTGTCACGCCTAAACCACTGAACTGATTTTAATGAATTTTGGTACAGACATAGAGTTGACCTTGAGAAAGAACATAGGATAGTTTTGTTCACAGACTTTTAAAAGGTTCTCTTGGGAACGCGATATAACCGAACTCCACGCGGATGAAGCTGCGGGCGGAGAGCTAGTTTTTTATAAATGCTACTAATATTCTATAATTCATGGTCAGTAACTTCAATCTATTTCTCATTCCAGTCAAACGCTCAAATCCCTCACGAAGAGGATTCTTTAGATGCTGAAGATATTTTTGATTTAGAAGGAATGGACTCCTGTAACTACATGGCTTCCGACAATGAGGATTATGATTCAGACCGTAAGTCTTATATTTACTGTTTATATATACACATATAATATATAGTTGGGTCTTATGTATAAGGGCCAAAGTAGCAATTTAGGTTTTTTTTGTTTTAAACACTTCATAATACTGTATTCTGAAACAACCATTTAAAAAGATGTGTATTTGTTGGTGGAAGGAATTAGTTTTTATTGCAGTAAAAAACAAAAGTAACACACTTTTTAAGATATAAAGGCATACATTATTAAAAAAAACTTTTAGGTTTATAAAAAAGTTTATCAAGCTTAAATGACGTAAATGTATGTCATAGTTGCTATGCAAAGTTTCAAAAGCATCAGTTGTCGCAAGTACAAGATACATTGAAATCAAACATAAAACGCCTCTACTGAAAAATTTTCATTTTGCATATTGGCCCTTATACATAGGAGCCATAACTATATATATGTTATATCTTTAAATGAGCAATTCTTGTATATATATTTATATAGGTATTATGGGAATCTCGGTATCGGCTCCAATGATGTTCATGATATTTAGTATGTAGGGGGCGATAAATCGATCTAGCTAGGAATCATTTTTAGAAAATGTTATTTTATTAAAAATAATACAAAAAGGAGTCGTTTAAAATATGACTATTCCTGACATCTATTGGCGAATAGTAATACTACTTTTTGCTAATTACTCTTACTAATTGCTTTAACGACACAACAGCAGATGGCGTTGTTAAGTTATAGGAAGTAATGAGTGTTTGTTTTGAGGTTAGACTAAGAAATTAATTATTGATTTATGGGTGAATATACGCTATTTGAATTCCATTGGTCTATAGACAAAGTTTATATAAAACTTATTATATCATTGTCTCTACATGCTCAAAAAATTAAAAAAGAATATGGCATTTTATCTGGCCCACAAAGACTATTCAGGATAATTATTTAATTTATATTTTTAATAATATTTTAAAATGTATGCTCCTCTGGCCTTCCCATTTATGAAATAAAATGAACTAATTTCTGAATACTTTCAAAAAGTACACAATTATGTTTTTTATTTAATGTGGTCATACGCTTTAATAAACATCGAAACATATTTGAACAAAATTAACAATAAAAATATTTATTAATATAAAATAATATAACTTATTTTCGAGTCTGACTTCGAGAAAACTGAAAAAAATTTAATAATCTTAATTTAGTTTTAAAACAGTGTCAAATAAATAAATTATAAATATTGAATGGATCCGATAACATTTTCTTCTGGGACACGAAAAAACCAAATAGCGTATATTCACCCTTAGATTGTTTTAACGTGTTCACTTAAAATGCCTAAACGAAATAAATAAAACACAAAATAAATACCAATAATCCCTAAATACCGAGCAAAGCTCGGTAACCAAATATTATATATTTACATACATTTCCCAAAAGAGGGTTGATGTCAGGTAGGCGGCCGGTCGTAAAAACAAATAGCCAAAACTATTCACAACATGTAAGGCAGATTCTGGCTAAAGCTGGGAAATTGCCCGTTAGAAGAAGATATATATTTACATACATAAGCCTGTTATAATCTCTCAGTATTCTCGACCATCCTTCTAAGTTATCATACAGTAACTTCATCCATAGTATAATATGTTTCAGAGCTCAGTAACGATGAGTCCATGGGTCCTAGAACTCGCCCCGGGGCCGCAGCATCCCTCGCGCGCTCTCTACCGGTCAGGGTCCCTGTCGTGATGAGCAGACGAGAAGATATTACACACGAGGAGGATTATGTGAGGAAATATATATATTATACTAGCTGCGCCCGCGGTGTTACCCTCGGATTATCAGGTCGAACGTTTTCCGGGATGTAAAGTAGCCTATGTGTTATTCCTGGACGTCAGCGTCCTGTATACAAATTTTTATCAAAATCGGTTCAGCCGTTTGAGCGTGAAGAATTAACAAACATACACACACACTCACAAACTTTCGCAATTATCATATTAGGAGGATAAAAGATGTATGTATGAGGCTCTGGCTACTCTTACTTGAAAACGAAGTGTACTGTATAGACTAGGGTTATCCTAGAATTTGTCTGATAGATACATTATGAGCTCTGTATGACTCACTGGTTTAGTAGAAAATTATGGAATTACTAGCTGACCCGGCAAACGTTGTTTTTCATATATAAAACTAGCTTTCCGCCCGCAGCTTCGCCGCGTGGAGTTCGGTTATATCGCGTTTCCAAGAGAACCTTTCAAAAGTCTGGGATAAAAACTATCCTATGTTCTTTCTCAAGGTCAACTCTATCTCTGTACCGAATTTCATTAAAATCAGTTCAGTGGTTTAGGCGTGAAAGCGTAGCAGACAGACAGACAGACAGACAGAGTTACTTTCGCATTTATAATATTAGTAGGGATTAGTAGGGATTAGTAGGGATTAGGAGTTGATGATGAAAAAGTACAAATTTTGGGATGTATGTTTTTTTTAATGCTTCATTATAAAAATAAAAACAAAATTTTTCGTCCAAAAATAAATTTAAAAAATTTAGGAGTGAACAACCCTTATGACGTAGGGGTCATACCCCCAAATAGATTTCCGTTTCTAAGACCTACTCAATATGCTCACAAAATTTCATGAAATTGATCAAGAGATGTAAGCTATCCTATCTTTCAAGTTGGATCTAAATGCACACGGAATGCAAATCAAATTTAAAATCGGTTTAGTAGTTTAGGAGTCCATCGAGGACAAACACGTGACACGAAATTTTATCTTTATATATATAATTCTTCTGTGAGTGTGTATGTCACTGAACTTCTCTCAAACGACTGGACCGATTTTGATGAAATTTTTTGTGTGTGTTCAAGGGGATCTGGGAATGGTTTAGATTCACAATTTTTTCAACTGGACAATGTTTTTTTAATCTTTATATATAAAAATGAATTGCTGTTCTTTAGTCTCACTAAAGATCGAGAAGGGCTGAACGGATTTATCTTTTTTTTTTTATTTATTTGGTAATCCAACAGTTTTTATACATAACTTTCTCTATTAACTATTATATAACATAAGATTAAAACCAAAATAGGATTACACAGGTAACTTAAACATATTAATAACTAGAAGACGGTAGCATAAAAGTAAAACTTATAGTATAAAAGTAAAATAAAGGTACGGGTGGGAATCCAATAGGTGCGTGTTTGCATGATTGTGTGTGTGTGGGTGTGGGTGGGTGTGTGTGTGTATGTTTGTCATTATGAATTTTTATCTTTTTTAATTATAGCTTTTTTAAAAGCTAGTTTTGACATGCTGAACAGATCAATTTCTGAGTATTGTGAATTATATGTGTGGACCATGCGATTAAGGACAGAGTTGTGTGCATAGTTAGTTTTTAGCTCAGGCGTGTGGAATAGTGCTGTATGACGTGTGCGGCGATTAGGAAGTCTTAAATACAAAGCGCTCAATAAATCGGTGCAATCTATATCTCCGGTAGTTATAGCGTGTAGCATGTACATATCATAATGTCGTCGTCTCGTTTAATGTTTCAATATTATATTGTTTACATTTATCGACATAATCGTTAAATTCTTTAAAGTCCTTAAAGCAAAGAAATTTTACGAACTTTTTTTGTATTATTTCCAGTTTTTCTTTGTAAGTTATATAATTGGGAGACCATATACTACAACCGTATTCTAAAATACATCGTACATAAGTAAAATATAAAATTTGTATGCATTCAATATTATTAAAAGTTTGACATACTCGGTTTATTTAGCCTAATTGCTTATATGCCTTATCAGTAATGGGTTCTATATGTTCTGCCAGCAATAATTTAGAATCTAGTTGAATTCCAAGGTCATCTTAGTCTTGAAATGTTCGTGGAGGTTTAGGGAAGGTTTAAAAGCTGGAAATTTTTTAATCATTTCCGGGAAAACCCTAAAAACAGCCCTTTTCTATTTCCCATACAAACGATTTATAATGTATATGTATGTTTGTCCGTCAGGAGGAGACCCAGGACATAGCGGCGTCCATCAAAGCCCTAGCCCGCTCGGTGCACGGCGACGTGTTCGAGCTGCCCCGCCCGCGCTTCTCCACGCAGATCTAGCGACCCTCCACCCGGCCTTCGCCCCCGGCCTCCGCCCCCCACGGAGCTCCGCCGGCCTTAGTTATATTCGTTTATAACGACTCTATGGGTCGAGTAGGATTAAAGTGACATGAATGAGGAACTGATGATAATATATGATGTTCAGTGGCCGTCTAAGTCATCCGTGTTAGTTGAGTGTTGTATTAGTTTACGAGGTGTTATATAATGGTAAGGACCGATGTACAAACAGACACGCATTTGGTACTAGTCCCCCGGCGTCCAGGGCGGCGCTACTTAAAATAAAATGACATTGTAATATTTATTTTTGTATTGAATATTTTGAATGGTTACTGCGAGGGACGGAGCGCGTCGTCTTCCAAGAGCTGTTTAGTTTCTACAATATGTAATGTGTTGACTGTTGACAAAGGACAGGAGGCTCCGCTCGGGACGACATACGATGGATTCAGATTGTAATGGACAGTAGTGTACGATAATAAAAGATATACAAAAATACACGCTCGTATTATTCACGACGTTCCACATATTTTATAGATAGCAATAAAATACAAATAAATAATCAAAAACACTCAATACCATTTCAAAATTCGAACTTAGAACTTGAGAGAAATTTTCTCTCAGTCACTGTTACATTCGAGCCATCGTGCATTTTCCAAAGTCAATGTTTTTTTAAATTATTATTTCAAGTTATTATCTGAACATTTCTTAATTTTTGAACATAATGAAAAAAATATCTACTAATGAAATCGTTACAATGTGCTTTCTGAATTGCTGTGTTAAAAATTGAGTTGGAAAAATTAAGGATTTACTGCAATAACTATTCCGATATATGTAGTTCAAATGTTTAGACGATATATTAAAAGACATTTATTTACATATAGAAATACATGTAAAAGTTAGTTACGAGATAAAAGATTATTCATAATATTGAAGTTGTATTACACAATAGTATCGCAAAAAATGTACGAAGAAAAATCTTTAAAGTTTTAGCGTTTAGATAAATATTTTTCTAATTTAGTTAGCTATTTTAAAATAATTTTATAAATGAATCAAAGAGTATTGTGAGTTGTGACCACAGAATAAACAATATATTTCCTTAAATAATAATAATAATTGCACTTCATTTATAAATTGCAACTGTGGCTCAATTGTCATCACCATGGTGACAGCATCACAACACTGACACGCGCGTCATATCGTGTTCAATGTTAAATATTAAATAATATCTGTATTTATGTTTGCATCTAATTGAATTTGTGTTGTTTAAGATCTACTAATAAAGTTATTAATTGTGACTTCAGTCCCGTATAAGTTAATCCCGGATCGTTCCTACATTCTACACGATACTGGCAGAATATACTGTTCACGTCTTAGCACGGATGAAGGAAATATTTTAAACAACTAACCAAAATCGTTTTTCTAACAATGTTAGGGTCGAGATATACCGTGTCGAGGCAGGGAGGCTTCAAGCCGCCAAGAACTGCCGTGGTTATAGATGATGAAGATGAATTATATACAGGATTCAACGAAGTGTCACCGGCCTTGGACACCAAGAATCTTCGAGAGGATCAAGTGTTCCAGCAGACCGTGAGAACAGCTAATATGGGACGACAGGCCGCTAGTAGAATGGGCACCGGCGTTAGTACTGATCTTTCTTTATAGTAATAATTAATACAATTATAACTTTCGTATTTCTCTTCTCTGCTTGTATGTGACTTTGGCGAGTATTCATTTAAATGAAACAAATATATTTCGGATATACTACGCGATTTTATCCCTATCTCCCTACTAATATTATAAATGCGAAAGTAACTTTGTCTGTCTGTTACGCTTTCACGCTTAAACCAATGAGCTGATTTTAATGAAATTTGGTACAGAGCTAGAGTTGATCTTGAGAAAGAACATAAGATAGTATTTATCCCAGACTTTTGAAAAGTTTTCTTGAAAACGCGATATAACCGAACTCCACGCGGGCGAAGCTGCGGGCGGAAAGCTAGTACAAATATAACTTTCGTATTTCTGTTCCCTGTCTGTATTAATGTTTTTTTACGAGTATTCATTTAAATGAAACTTATATTTTTCTGATATACTACGCGACTTTATTTTTGATAAAACTATATACTCCCGACGTTTCGGCTACTTTTCAGCAACATCTCGTCATAGACGAAACGTCGTGAGTGTGTAGTTTTTATCAAAAATAAAGTTTCGTAGTATATCCGAAAAATATTAGTTTCATTTAAATGTTTTAGTGAGTTTTGTAATACCAGTTATTTCGTGTGGGCACGGTGAGTGTGCGTGGAGCTCGTACGGGTTCGGCTAGACCGGTGACGGCGTTGAGGGCTGCTGGGTATTCCTCGGGGAAAGATGCTCCCCGGGACGAACGGAGAGAGGAAACGTGAGGAAAATCGAAACTTAAATACGACGTATACAAAATATGTAGGGCAAGCGGAGGGTACAGTATTGTCTTGTCAGTGTATACGTATGTATCGGGTGCTTGAAATGGGTGAAATTTAATGGAAGGCTTAAGACTTATTATTCCTTAATAATGAAGTAAGATATATCTGTTGATAACTTTTTAAACACGAAAACAAAACCTGCGTAGCGATAATTATAAAGGGTGGCAACCAGAGGTTCCAGGTTAACTACGAAACGTACTTATATGTATATTATAATAAGAATTACATATTAAAACTTATAACCTACACCTAAGACTACATGATTGACCCGATGTCAGGATAGCAATACCATTCCATAGCTTGTGTGGTATCAGGAATGTTCTGGTTCACACGGCTTGGTGTTCGTTCCGCGGAGTCAGCGGCGTCTCTCGTTATGTGATATCTTATACATAAAACGATGTCGCCCGGCGTTGTTCATTTATTTATAACAACGCCATAAGCGTTTTAGTTACTTTATTCCGAAAGTTCCAGGTCACTGTAGTGCTAATATCGATGAGTTTATTGTACATTGCTATTTGAATTTCAATTTAGTATTAGCTCAACTTTCTATATTAATAACATATTATTTTATATTAATTAAAAAGGTTCATACGTAGTAGAGGTATATGTCTTTTATCAGGATAGAATGCTAATAAATAGTCAATGTTTTTGGAACTTATTTTTTTTTTATTGAGGAGTTCTCACAAAAAAATCCAATCGTAAATATAAAGAGACTAATAGTGTTACTAAATAAAACGAATATTTCTCGTGTCAGTATTGAAGATAAAATAAAACAAATGGAAGCGAAGATCATGACTCTTGTTGAGGAGTCGTGCGTGCTGGTTGCGAGGAGAGGTGCTGAAGACGAGAACGATAGCAAGAGGGAACAGAACTTGAGTCAGGTCAGTAATTCTATTGTGTGACATCTTAGAATACATTGAAGTCATTTACATTACAATACTTTTTATTTGGACTCAAATCCCTTTTTTTATTTAATTGGAACTAATATTCGGATTATAGTACGAGTGCTTTATTTTTGTAAAAAACTACATACTCCCGACGTTTCTGTTACTTTTCATCAACCGTGATCATTAAGACGAGATGTGAATGGCGTCAGTCTTGTTATTTATCACCTACCGCCATTGATTTTGATGTTTTTAGGCGTTAGCGAAGGCCCAAGAAGCGTCAACATTGGAAAGACAGCTAATTAGAATGCAAGAGCAAGCCAATTTGGGCGACTCGCATAATTTGGATTTGACTTTTGCGGTAAGTGTTTATTATGGATTTGAACTGGCATCATCAATCTGATCTGTGAACGTCTGAAATTGCTTCTCAGGTTCTTTGCAATCTAGCTGACCAGTACGCCCTCAACGAAATGTACACTGAAGCTCTTAATACTTACCAACTTCTCACCAGGAACAAACTCTTTCCTCACGCGAATAGACTTAAGGTAAGGTTTTTTCATTGTAGCTATTTTTGTATCAAGAAAAATACATAAAAAAGTGTTTTTGAACAGGTGAACATGGGAAACATACATTTCAAGATGGGCGAACATCCGAAGGCTTTAAAACTTTATAGAATGGCCCTGGACCAGACTCCTACCGCGGAGAAGGATCTGAGGTTAGCGAAATAAAACAAAAGTTGCTTAAAATAACCTTTATATTAACCAAAAAATATTTTTTTTAGGATGAAAGTGATGCATAACATCGGTCTTCTATTAGTACGGATGGGCAAGTTTCGTGATGCTGTTACAAATTTCCAGCACATCATGCAAGAACAGGGCGATTTCCAGACAGGTATACCCTGGGTATAGTCCATGTATGGAGCTATACCATACTTTGTAGGTTTCAATGATGCTTGTTCATCAGGTCTTCACTTGGTGCTGTGCTCGGTCGCTCTTGATGACGCCGAGGGTGGCAGGGCAGCCTTCCACGCGATGTTAGACGTAGAGCCTCCCACCTATCATCACGACATAGCCATCGATGATGTTAGTATATTTACTTCCTATGAAGTGCATTCAGCTGACATGAGTATGAATAAACTTTGGTATACAGTTAGGAATAATTAACAAAGGACAAAGGAAGCATCTTTTTTGGTCCAAATATGAAAACGCTGGCCATTAAAATTTTTTGCTTTATTCCATTAGAAATAGTCTCCCTGAATATTATAAAGCTGTAGGGTCACTGTCCTTGGTTTTATTAGATACTAGCTTTCCACACGCAGCTTCGCTCGCGTGGAGTTATGTTGTATCGCGTTTCCAAGAGAACCTTACAAAAGTCTGGGATAAAAACTATCTTATGTTCCTTTCAAGGTCAACTCTATCTCTGTACCAAATTTCATTAAAATCAGTTCAGACTTCAGTGGTTTAGGTGTAAAAGCGTAATAGACAGACAGACAGAGTTACTTTCGCATTTATAATATTAGTAGGGATATATTCCCAAAATAGAGGGTTGATGTCAGGCAGGCGGCCGGTCGTAAGAAAAAAATAGCCAAAACTATTCACAACATGTAAGGCAGACCTTGGCTAGGGTAGATTGCCGGGTAGAAGAGAATATTAATAGGGATACGTTCTTTAAGCTGCAAATATAATATAATTACATATGTGACCTTTAACCTTATTGTATTGTATTCAGGAGAATGATCCGTACGAGTGTGTGGTCCGTGACGTGGTGCGAGGTGACCGTCTGTCTCGCTGGTCCCGGACAGCCTCCGCCCTCGCCGAGCGCTGCCTGGCGCTGGCCGCCGCCGCGCTAGCGAGGGACGAGGACGCTGGGCATGTAACATTTAACATATATATAGGAAACATTTTAAAATTAAAGAAACGACGAGGTCGATTTTTGGAGTAAAAATGTCCCATTCCATTTCAATTAATTCATCATCATCAGCCTATCAGAGCCCACTGCTGAGCCTCTTCTCACATGGAGGAGGTTTGAGCATTAATCACCACGCTCGCTTAAGATAGGTTCACGATTTAAAGCTTATAATTTGAAATTACAAGTCCAGGTTTCCACACGATGTTTTCCTTCAACTGTCAGTGGTGTCTAAATATTCTTAGAAAGTACATATGACTCGGAAAAATCACATTGGTACTTGCCAGGTTTCGAAAACGCGCCCTCATGCAGGAAAGACTTCCCGTTTTTAAACACTAGTTCCCCACGACTTCTATTTCAATTAATTATAGAAGAGATATTATCAGGGGCACGTCATGGTGTGTGGAAGCGCTTCGAGGGTATTCAGGCGGCAGTGCGGGCGCGAGGCTGGAGTTAGGCAGCGCACTAGCAGCGCTGCGCAGCGCAGCCGGGACCGCTAGTACCGGGGCCAGCTCCGGGTCCACGGGCGCCATGTCCGCTGGAACGAGAGCGCTGCAGCGGCTGAAGGCGGTGGCGAGAGCTCATCCCAACGACCGTGTGTTACGAGCTGAAGCGAATGCCGATGCTGCCTTTGTAGCGTACGCGGTAGGTTGGAGAGCCTCAATACACAGTTCAATGACCAGATCAAATTAGCTGTTCAAGTCACATGTAGCATTAAAAGGGGGGAAATAAACGCACGCCTCTCTGTCCTACACACGCTAATACTATGTATTACCAGATTGCACTCTCGAATAAGACTGTAATTAGCGAGTTAGGGTATATTTGAGTATTAGTAATGACATTAACTATCAGTATCCGTCATCTTGAGTTCCCAAAGTTCATAATTCAAAGTAGATCATCACGTTGTATACCACACAAGATTCGTATTATAATATATGTATAACTCACTTATCAAACCTTTATTAGAATATCTTGTTGAGATTTGGAGAACTGCATCTAAAACTAATATAAAGGATCTTCAGATTTCGCAAAATAAATTAGTAAAAACATTGTTCCATCTAGATTATTACATGTCAACTAAAGAATTACATATATAAACGTACCAATGTATTATCAATTAAGTTATACAAATATAAAACATGCATATTAATTAGAAAAAATATTACAAAAACAATACAAACACAAATAACATTTAAAACTAAAACATATAAACATAACACGAGACATAAACACAAAGTTGAATTAGCCAAGACCAAGACCAAATATGGAATTAAAAGTATACAGTGTGAGGGAGCGAAACTATATAATAGCTTACCTAACGAAATTTTTAATGAAAAAACCTTTACTATTTTTAGAAAGAAATGATTAAGTTATTGTAAAAAGCACTTAGATTAATTGCACATTAAGCACCCTCGAATTGTATAAGTTTGTTACTACTTTACTAAATTGTAAATTAAATTATGTAATACATCTCATTTAAGTGGACATTGTATGTTCTTTGTGAGAAATAAAGTTCTTTAACCACAAAGTTTTTCAACCTCTGGATATTTGTGGACATGAGTGTATTTCCTTCCACTTATTTGGTGGTATGTGAATAAGCCATTACTGGAATAATTGTTTACTACATTCAGTTGCATCCACGTTCTATCAGGTAGGATGAGAGTCAATCGGTATCCAGGAAAATTAGAAAACGTAATAAGGAAATTAGTGACTTTAAAATGACTTCTAACCTTTTTCAAACACATTCTTTTATTAACATTACTGGAAAAATTTACTTCTTGGTTGTGATACAATCTTCAGCTATATGTCATGTGTATATGTTCAGTTGGGCAAGTACTCCGAGGCGCGGTCTCTGAGCGAGGCGGCGTCCCGGGACGACCCGTATGGCTGCGCGGCTCGTGTGACCCACGCCCTAGCCTCTATGGCGCCCCCCGGATCTCCCTCCACGACCTTTGACCCTGCTGTACTGGCTGAGGTCACCGCAAACCTCACGGCCGCCACACATCTTGACCCTACTGACCTTATTGCTCTTCACGACTCAGGTTCGTTAAACGATTACTATCCTTTCCAGTCAAAATACACTAAATGATGATTCCAATTTGCATTCATTCCCAAAATTTGTAAAATTTGTGCAGGCCTTGAATACGTCATTACAAATGACATGTCAGAAGTCCCCATCGATCTAACTTGTGCGTTGTTTTTTATTCGAGTTTAAAGATCAAATTTGCGTTTTGCCTCTGAAACATCTATATCTCTGAAACAACGAGACCTATTGAAAAATGGTTCAGCCAAGTTTGTAGATCTTTAAATTGTCTACAAAAAAGATCTCAACACTTTTCTTCTACAAAGCATTGCTTTCGAGATATCGTGACTTATAAGCCAGTGCAGATGCCTTTAAAAACAATGAAAACTGAAAATAAATTACAGTAGAATGAAACTCATTAGAAGAGGAGGGGAATATTATAAAAATTAAAGGAAAAATAATTTACGGGCGATCTGAGGTCGCGAAGGGTACGAGGATGGGTATTTAAGGGTAAAAAATGGGTTTTCTAGATTTCCGGCAAAACTAAAAGTCCTACAGAAAAAAATATATAACAAAGTTGTAGGTAATAAAAAGATCTAAAACTTTTGTACTAACATTTTTTTCACATAACCTCAAATTTTATGTGAAAAATTCGAAAATCAAGTTTTTGGTTTTTTATTTTTATTTCTTCCAAAAAACAATTTTTTGTCACGAAATTCGGTGGAAACTTTTCTTTTGATGTTCCAAATGCACTGTAATTTATTTGATTAGAAATATTTATGTTTTCAGCTTATTTTGAATAAATACCGAAAAATCAGCCTCATTTTCAATCGAAAAATTACCCGTCAGAATATCAGCTTTTTAAAAAATTTGGTATGTTTTCTAGTTGTTGAAATCTCTATTTTCCGATGGTGGAAAAAAAATATAAGTTTCTTACTTGCAGTACCATTTTTGGATAAAATAACCATGTCTCTTTTAATGAAAAGACACTCGACATCGTTTTGAAAATACTCTTTTTAATTTATTTTTAATAAAGGTCTAAAGTCACGTTATCTCGAATGCGATATTTTTTAGAAGGAAAGTGTTATGTCTTTTTTTGTAGCCAACTTTACGATCTACAAACTTTGTGTGAACCATTTTTCAATTGGTCTCGTCGTTTCAGAGATATACACCGAAAACGGAAATTTGTCATCTTTAACCTTGAATAAAAAAAAATCAACAAGCGGTATCGATGGGGACTTTGACAGGTCGTTTGTAATGACGTATTCAAGGTCTGCAAAAAAACCCAGCTTGTTCTGAATAAATGAAAACTTGAATGTCTTAATAGATTAATTAATGTCATGTATTTGAATAAAATCTTCGAAAAATCGGATGTTTATAATTGTTTTTCTAGCCCTAGCTTTGGAAAGGGCGGGAGAAGACAAGAGTGCCGAGGCTCGCTGGCAGCGTATTCGTAGCGCGGCGACCGCTGGCAGCACGCTGAGGGGACTGGCGGCGGCCGGACTGGCGCGACTGGCGGGGAATAGAGGAGACGCTGGCGCCGCCGAGCATTGGTAGGAACGAGGCTTATAGAGAGGAGCATCTTGATAGATGAATATTAATGAGTGTCATGTTCAGGTACGGCGTGATAGGCAGCTGGGACGCCAGCGTCACGCTCGCTCTGGCCGAGCTGCATTCAGAGGCCGGCGACCCGCAGACCGCGCAGCATCACTACCAGGATGTAAGAACACACTCTTGTTGTAATCAAACGCTTCTGATGTGATAATTAAACGAGTTTTTTTTTGTAGGTGGAGGCGGCCTGGCCGGGCGAGGAGTCAGCGCTCCGCTGGCTGGCCCGCGGACCCCCCTCCTCATCTCTGCCCTACCTAAGACGAGCAGCGCGCCTACAGCCCGGACATGTGAGTCAAGTACCCATATAAACTTCTCATCCAATAACATAAATAACCTGATAATTGTTTGCAGCCTGAATGGGGCCTCATGATGGGCGAGTGTCTCCGCGCCAACGGACAGTACCAGGAGGCGCTCTCTGTATATAAGAAGCTCAACACTAGGTTCCCTGAAAACGTCGAGTGTGAGTTAATATATATGAAATAAGTGTTGAGAATGCCTCAGATGCATTATAAGTATGTGTTCCAGGTCTAAGAATGCTGGTGAAGCTGTGTAGCGCCCAGGGGCTGGAGGAGGCGGGCGTGTGGAGGAGACAGCTGCGGGGGGTGCTGGCGCGGGCACAGGGGGACGCGAGGGGGGAGGGGGAGACTAGAGGTAAGGGGAGGGGGGCGATTTTAGTCGAAAACGCTTTCTAAATAAAAATAAAAGTGAAGTTAGTTCCATCGCCAAGTCGTTATCGTCCTCGCCCCGCCCGTGGATGTTTTTCGTCGGCTGCACAATGGTATCTCGCGCGTGAGTTCTGTCGCCAACTTTGAACCTCGATACGATTGTTTATGTTGTGGTGACGTCAGAAATGAATGTTCTTAAAACTGTATTTTTGTCGAACTGTCCACTACAGATGGATAGTTTACATCATATAATATATTGTGACGCAATTATTATGAACTAGCTGCGCCCGGCGGTGTTACCCGCGAATTTTCGGGAATTTCGGGATGTAAAGTAGCCTATATGTTATTCCTGGACGTCGGCTTCCTGTACACAAAATTTTATCAAAATCGGTTCAGCCGTTTGAGCGTGAAGAAGTAACAAACATACACACACACTCATAAACTTTCGCAATTATAATATTAGTAGGATTTGAATGTTTGCAGGCTTATCGGCGGCGAGCGTGAGTTCATCTGAGGACCGCGGCAGAGCAGCCACTGGTAAAGTATTTAATATTAAAAAAAATCTCCAATACTATTAATATAAAGTTTGCGTTAGTGTCGATAAAGGAATCTCGAAGTTTCGCGGAATAATGAGACGATTAAAATCAAATCATAATAATAACACATATTTTTATAACCCGAGAATTATCGAACGTAAGAAAAAGATAATTTTACATGATATACCAGTTGACGTCGATGAGAATTTTCGTCGATATCCAACGAACGGTAGATACAAACAAAATGTTTATATGACTTAGATAAGGGAGTGTAGAATGCACAAACACTCATTTAACTAGGAAGTTATGACGAACACAAGTAAACAGGAAAAAATAAGAAACTTATTGAGTTTGAAAGCTTCTTATTGTAGTGACCAAGAAGTGAGAAGTACAGGCATCTAAAATGTACTGAATCACAGTTATATACATATATCATAATCATACAAAAGTCAGTACTGGTACAGGCTTCTAAAGTGTACTGAAACAGTTATATACATGTCATAATCATACAAAAGTGTGTATTGGTCGTAATCACAATTTAGAGCTGCGAGTAAATACGAATGATGAAATAACTAATGTGTCACAGTCATCTATATACATTCCGATATCTATAGATGTAAGTTCTAACTAGAGACAAAAGGTATAGATAGATATAGATAGATGAACTAGATGAAGCCGGCAAAAAGTCGCGTCTGGACCTTACCAGGTCATCAACATCGGCTCAAACCTGATCGAGACTTGACTCCATTGAAATGAAATAATACACGATCATTGCGAGATCGATAACTTGTAATACATATTGTATGACCTCTGACCTCTAGATAATGACCAAAATGTTTGACAATGATCATTGCTGACCTTTTTTTCCCATATGGGCCATTTTTCCACCAGTTAGACCATCACCGTCAGTTGATAAGTGAACCCGTTCTAACCAGTTGGGTGATGAATGCGACTTGTTTTCTCGTCGCGTCCAGAGATCAAGAGGTCGATTTTTATAATAATAATACGAGATAACGTTGGATTCTTATAAGTTAACTGAGGAATTCATCTGGTTGAAGGAAATGTATATAGCATAATGAGGTCTAAGATTTTTGCGAGTTTTATTCATATAAATGTCAGTGATATTTTTCGGATATACTACATACTTTCGAAGTTTCGGCTGCTTTTCAGCAACGCTTTGTCGCTAGTTAGTGTGAGCAATGACAAACGACGAGAAAATAATAAATAAAATTGTTTATGAAATTCAACTTTGTAAGCAAATAGGTCGTAGGGTCGCCAAGGACCTAGCGTGCTTAGGATAGTATCAGTAAAATGAAATATACTATATATGGAAACATGTAGATGCCTGAGGATTTAAATAATACTAGTTTTTATTCCCGACTTCGTCCGCGTTTAATTCGGATTTAGTAATACATATATAGCTGACCGGGCGAACTCTATGCTGCCTTATATAGGCCCTAAATAACCAGATATTGCAATTTATTAAGTATTTTCTTCTATTTCGATCAAACAGAATTAAATATCTTAAGTCCGTCTCCTGGTTCTAATCTATCTCTCCACCAATTCTTTTCAGTATTTATTCTTTTCTTTACTTTCCTACAGTCGTTCTTAAGTTATAAATAGTGTAACTAACACGACTTTCCTTTATATATAGACTTTATTTCTGTTTTACTTTTAGTATACTCCTACTATATTTTGTTTCACAGATGTGGTCGCTGACACCGTCTCCGAAACTCGCGGGTAAATATTATCTTTTGAACAACCCTGGACGAGACACACATTCATAAATATTTTTGCCAAATTAAATTCTTAAACAAACGTTTACTTAACGTCTGAATCGCAGCCATTTCAAAGATAATGTCTTATCGTTTATTTTTTTTTCCATTATTTTGTTTAACTATTCTCAAACATTTTAATCAACTAGTGACGTCACAGTTCGTTTCTCGCTATACAATTATAGTTCCCCGGCTCTGTTCATGTATTATTTAGTACATAAAAAGTACATCGTGATAGTCACGATAGTGCGCAGTACAGCGGCCGACCGGAGGTCAGCTTCATCAATATTCATACTTTTCTTTGACATGTCAGTTTCAATTCATGAATTTGTAATAATCTGTAGCTGAAATATATTAAGTGTCGTAGTATGTTCAGGATTGTTCTGATATAAAATGTTCCCGCAGAGGCCGGGCTTCGGGGAGGAGGAGGGAGGAGGAGGAGTTGCCGCTACCACCGGAGTGAACAATAAATGATAACCACCAACAACGACTTTTATTGACTTTATTTCATTTACTTTCCTATATTATATACAACATGGAGACACACACGTCTCACACACTACTGCACGGATCGTAATAAATAGACTTAACGGCGACCATATTTATTCATTTATTTATTTATTCGTTTATTTATTTATTTACATCATAAATTCGTACAGAAGGTCCGTATCACAAGAGGAGATACTCGCTCACAATATATTACAATACAATAACTACAAGTCGACATATCTTACAATACACTTACTGGCTAACGGTTACAGACACACGCACACAGACATAAATGTATTCACACACACACGCGCGGAATGTTCGACAGTCACTGACACGCTTCATACTGTGGACTTAGAATGATTGTTGGAGAGGAGTGTAGGGGTGGGGGGTGTTGCTACGCGATGACCTTGGCGTAGGGGTGCTGCACGTGTCCGTACTGTATGGCGAGCAGCGTGTCTCTGAGCCGGCGGTACACGGGCCGCGGCTGGCTGGTGGTGGGCACGCGGATGTCCCGGTGCAGGTAGCCCACGTTGTTGATGGGCGTCACCACCACCGCCGTGCCCGCGCCGAACAGCTCCAGCAGGCGGCCGGCCTCGTTGAGCTCCTCCAGCCGGTCCATGGTGATGACCTCCTCCCGCACCTGCAGCTCGTCCCACTGCGCCGCCAGCTCGAGGATGGAGCGCCGCGTCACGCCCGGCAGGATGAGCCCGTTGAGCGGCGGCGTGCTCAGCGTGCGCTGGCCGTGCTCGTTGATGTACACCATGAAGATGTTCATGGCGCCCACCTCGGTCAGCTCGCGGTCCGGGCCGAACAGCCACAGCACCTGTTGGTGGCCCAGCTTGGCGGCGCGCGCGGTCGCCTCTGGAAGGAGACGCCGGTCAGACAGGGTTGATGACTGATGACGTCACTGGTTAATGACGTCACGCTACTCACCGATCGTGGGCCCGTAGTTGGAGCCGACCTTCCGGTTGCCGACCCCGCCGGGGAAGGCGCGCACGACCGCGGGGTCCGCGAAGATGGACACGGCGCCGTCCCCGCGGGTCTGGTAGTAGGCGGACACAGGGCTCAGGATGACGAACAGGAGCGCGCTCTCCGGCTCCATGATACCGAATGTGGGCTGGACAGAGAACGAGAGGATTGGAAATGAACAGACAGAAGACTTAGAGAGAGAAGAAGGAGGGACCGGGCGATACATGCACAATAATCAATGAGGTTTGTCTGAAGTCAATACTCCACACATATTTTGGTTTATGACGAATGCAAGAACCTAATAATTACATCATAGTTTACAAGTCATTATGTAATGTGGGCGGTGTTCGCTGACGAACAAACAGAGGACTTACAGGGTAATAAACTTGTCACAACACTGCGAAGGTCGCGCGAAAAATGTTAATCTCTCAGTTGATAGGAGACGAAAACATTCGGCGTGGCAGATAAATAGATGAAAGTAAATATTAAAGGAGGCGCGGGCGGAGATAAGGCAAGCTGTGATGTTGACGTAAGACTAAGAGCCTACCTCTGTTCCGATGAGTGTGGGTCGCACGTAAAGCGTGGAGGTCTCCGAGTGCGGGACCCACTCCTGGTCTATCTGTATGAGCCTGGTGATGCAGCGGATCAGCTCCTGGCCGTCGAACATGGGCAGGCCAGACCTCTGGGCCGCGAGGTTCATCCTTTCCATATTCAGCTCCGGTCGGAACAATCGGATTTTATCGTCGACGCCCCTGTATGCTTTCATACCTTCGAATAACTGGAAAATTACATGAAAATTAAATCACAGCTGATCTCCATGAACAGAAAGCGAATTTGTACAGTTCAATAGAGCTATCGTACTTGTATAGCGTAGTGTAGAGCCTTAGCGGCGGGGTGTAGGCTGAGGTTCTCGAAGGGCGTGATCTCCGGTTTCTGCCAGCCTCCTAGCTGCTTGCTGTAGTGGATCTTGAGCATGTGGTCCGTGAAGTACTTTCCGAAGCCCAACTCGACCGCGTCGGGTTTAGTCTGTAGTTGATACGGCGCTGCCAGTCTCACTTGGAGATCGTCGTGCTGGTTGAAAGAATACATTCATCAGAACTGACATACGGACCAAACAATATTCTTCTATTGACTATGTACCTTGAAGGATACTTCAGGCGTGATCTCCGGGCGAGTCTTAGGTCCAGTGACGTCATGTTCTGCTGAGGAGCTGTCTTCCATCTCCTTGTAGCGAGCCAACGAGCTGCAGCGACGGACGGACTGCATCTTGTGTTGGTTCTCGAAGATCCATTTCACTAGACCCTTTACAATGAACGAGAAAAAATATCTTAATATTCGAACCCAAAACATAACGTCGACTTGCTCTAACCAGTTATTTTAATTAAATTTCAATATGTAACTCACTTATTATCTTTACATTTTTAATTATATTAATTATAAACGGTATATATTTATTTTTAGTTCATTGAAATTAATTTAGAAAGTTAACATGACCTGATCCCATTTTATTCTTTACATGAAGTTAAAAAAGTGCTGTTCTAAAACATTAAGGGCCAGAAATATTGATTAGCTATTTGATTTTTGTATATGGAGATGTTAACTTGGATAAGCAGAATTTCCCCTTCTACAACATTTAAAATTTAACACAATCTATGTGAAATAAATTTGATGTCCCAAAAGATTTCATTACATCCCCAGCTTCTTAAAGCCGCTCGTATAAATACTTAAGAACCCAGAATAGATCAGAGTGGTATATAAACGAAGAAATTAATTAATCACCAACAATAATATGAATGTACCTAAATAGGTGACGAAAAACAAAAGGAAATCTCATTCGATTGTTGTATACACGTTGTAGGGAGAGGAGCTTCAACAGTGCCTGGGACTTGCGACCCAGGTGTAGGTTTAAGGGACACTATCTAACGCGCGTTAAACGCTCATCTCCACCATCCAAGCTCTATAGACAGGTTCTAATATCACGATAATTAATAAAGACATTTAAAAAGAGGAAGAAAATGACCAAAAATAGGATCGAGATTCCAGTATCGTCGAGAATATATATGTATTTTTTCCAGTCCCCAGAAAGTTGCGAACAATTCAATGAATATTAATCCAAAGTTGAAACATTTACCGTTTACTTTGTCGATATATTAACAATTCATTGTGGCTAACTTATGTATTATATATGTAAATATAACGATTACTAAATATATATTGTGTTTGAATACACTGAATAAAAGATATATTCAAAGTATGTCTGTTCCCGAAAAATTGGCGGCGAGTGAGCAGAAGGTCACTGGAGGGAGGTGGGAGGCCAAAACACATGGACAATTGAGGCAGAAATTACCTTAGGAGGGAAAATCTTTTCTTATTACCAAGTTTTATCCTTCTGAGATACTGCAGGCGTCAAATAACTTCATAATTTGAAATTGTGGGAAATATTCGTGAAAAACAAAAGAATTACAATATCAGAAGGAAGGAAGGTTATTGCAAATATTAAACGAGCCCACAAAATATCTATAGTATTGTGGAGAGTGGATTCAGGAAAAACACGTAAAGATTTTAATAAAAAGAACATGTATAGGATTTCAATACAACTTTGATATCTCTTGCTAGTTCATCATTTATGTCTATTAAAACAATTTGTCAAATATTTTTTTGGGAATAAAATAAACTATTACAAAACGACACACTGCCTATCACACAATAATTATATTGTATCTGATACATTACATAATAAAATAAATTGCTTACAAATCAAGTTTCAGCAACATATTAGTTCACACGATTATTATTCAACAAGTTCACAACATGACGTAGTCTTCAGTAAATTAATTCGGCCACTTGATTGTATTGAAATAAAAATAAAAATTATTACATACACGTAAACGACTCTTTTAGCTTTCAATTAATTGCATTTTTGTCAATTAATATTACTTTATTAAACAACACATAAATTTAAATTTTCGATTATTTTGTTAAATTATAAAAGTGACGACACACAAAGCGAATTGTCTATCATTCCTTCAAGTCACTGATGACTAAAAATTTATTTAAATAAGTATGTAGTTGAGTTAAAATACTATCAGAAACAGGAACTGAAACTATGGGAATCTTTTATATGGGGAATAAAATATTGTTATTCATTTCTAGAACTGTCTACCATAATGTTAAATATAGTAAAATTGTTCCTCTAACTGTCAAACTGATTTGTTACGGCTCGGTTTTTGTTTTAAGCAATTTGAGAGAAAATTCAATTCAATACTTACGTTTGAAGATAAACTATCAACATTTTTCGTTTTTAAAACAGCTGATAATGTACTGGGTAACGCGAGGTCATTGCCAAATTTTTTCTACCATATTATATAATAAATAATATCAAATTGAAACCCGAACGAGTAATATTTTGTTTTAACTTACATGATCACCAGTTAACTGTCACTGATATATTTTAACTGGTTCAAATGACATAACTACATTACGTTTAACTTCAATCTACCTTCCTTAATTTGAAACTATTGCCATAATAATTTTTCTATCAAACATTTTATTAACTACCCTCTTTAGGGATGAACTAATTACTAGATCATTTGACACCCCAAAATTATATTTAAATATTTATTAAATTTAATTATTCCCAAAGAGGGTTGATGTCAGGCAGGCGGTCGTAAAAACAATTAGCCAAAACTATTCACAACATGTAATCCAGACCCTGGCTAAAGCTGGGAAATTGCCAGGTAGAAGAGGATATATTAAATTTAATTATTTTATAAAAGTCTAAATTACAAAAATTCTCTCACATTACGTAATTTTAGATAGATTATTTAAATTACAAGTAATAAGTATAAACATCATTTTTATACATCGTCTCCTCATTTAGCATATCTATAAGCCAAATCATACTTAAACTTTTTATGTTCATGTGTAGTCTCTCCATGTTCATGTATTTCAATTTATTTTGTATATCTGAGATTTATTTGTCTCCGAGTATTGTGATCATAGAATAAGTCAAAATTTCCTACTCAGTATTTAATTACCATCTAATGACTTATAAGGTCCTACCAACTTGTTTCCAATCTAAAAACTAACGCAGCTTCATCAAATTAATTTCATCTTAAGTCAAGTCAAACCAATTAATATATTTGTGATATTTGAACCAATTTATTTTATAACAAAACTTCTCTATGACGTCAGTGTATTGTTTATACATCGCCTCAATCGTTTATCTTGCTTCCATTCGTGTTGTCGAGGAGGAGTAAACAATGTTATGATCGTCCGATGTTTGTGTCGTAGTTCATATCAAAAATGGAAAGAAAAATTACTTTATTAGGTATTTCCTTAATACGAGATAATTTTTTTTGAGTAAGCTGTTGTCTTAGACCAGTATAAATAGTCATGGTGGGCTAGATGTTAAAATGCCCGCCTCTCATGCATGAGGGCGCGAGTTCGAAACCTTGCAACACTAATGTGTTTTCGAGTCATATGTACTTTCTAAGAGTATTTAGACACCACTGACAGACGGTAGGGAAAACATCGTGAGGAAATCTGGACTTATAATTTCACAATTACAACTTTTTAATCACCAACCCGTCTTGAGCGAGCGTGGTGATTAATGCTCAAACCTTCTCCATGTGAGAAGAGGCCTTACAGCAGTGGGCTCTAATAGGCTGATATAGTATGTAGTATAGTATAAAGAAATAATGTGAAAATTTATTAGTTTATGAAGGTTTTGTAGACAATTATAAAAATGTTTGTACATATTTATTTTTTCAATATATTTGTATTTCATTTAAAATTTTATATGTATTATAAATGATAGGTTCCAATGTGGCCAAGTCCATCCAGTTTGTGCTGGAAATTGTTCAGAGCCTTGATGAAGATGCTATTGAATTCAGTTAAAAACTGTCTTGTTTTTCGGTACTTAAATAAAATATTCAACTTTATAAAAATATAAAAATGTACTAATACATCTGATTATACTATTTTCTGTATAATTCTTCATAAACCAAAAGTAAGCACAATGCGCGTAGATCTAATCTTCAATTTGATTTTCTAAAAACGTTTTTTCTCCGTAACATGTTATCTATCAGTCATATAAAAAGTTTTTAGTATCTAATGTTTGTAGTTTTAAGTATTCGCCAAACACTATTTAATAGTCTATGTTATCTTAGAATTAAAGAGATTTGACATTATTTTTTAAGACATATAATGAAATTGCTTAGTAAAAGTCAAATAATAGAGATTTGTATAAGAATAATTATTATTATAGCTGAACGTATGTCGTATAAAATATATTATTGTACTTTTGTACTATACAGGGTGACTGGTGAATTACTATCAATATTTAAGGGGAATACTCGGTACATGATTCTCATTCGAATTATGGAAAAAAAATAGGTACTTAATTTTTGACCAAATTTCCGTATAAATAAATAAAGTGTGGACACGTTCCAAGTGTTCCAAGTGTGGACGCGTGCGGCGGCGTGCTGATACAACACCACGCCGCCGCACGCGTATGTGTGTGTGTATACCTAATCTGTAGGGTGTTCACACGATGCGTAATTAATTACATAACTTTTGGTTAACTTTACTTAGAAGTTTATTAATATTTATGTTATATTAATTTTTCTTTTGTCATATATGATCGTCAAATATCACGTCCTCAAGTATCGATAGTAATTCACCAGTCACCCTGTATAATAAATAAAAGTTCATTAAACCTTATAATACTAATAATATTATGTTTAAAACTCATTTGTTTGTACTTACTCACTGACCCCTATTCTCTAACTAATCAACTTGTCAGATTATTTTAACATCAAGACACCACTTTCAATATTATTCAATATGTTCTTCTTCCTGGCAATTTCCCAGCTATAGCCAGGGTCTGCCTTACATGTTGTGAATAGTTTTGGCTAATTGTTTTACGACCGGCCGCAGCCTGACATCAACCCTCTTTGGGAATGACGACCCACAATACTATTCAATATGATATGTAACTCTAAGATTCTTTAAAAATTTTAACATCACACACAACGTCCAACGAGACAAGATAAAATAAATAAACAAACTGGTTTTTTATATATCTATCAATTCCTTGAGGTGAAAATGGCAAAGTTATTATGTATTGAATATTTTAATTGGTTTTATAATGTTATATTCAATGAGTAGGGCTGCTGCTTCTATCTTACATTCAGCGAGAGTCGAGAGTGCCAACCCTGAGCCCATATTTTTTGTACAATCGTAGGTTTCCATTCACACGACCTATTTCTACACATTTATGTAAAACAGTCCCATAAAATGATATTCTATCATTCCACTTTGTATTTCATTAAATATTATCCTCGATGCATAATCATTATGAAATGAAAAACTAATTAGCTCACGGCCCATTGTTGTTAGAAAAGATCTGCTTTTATTAAATCCCCAGCTGCCATTGACATTTTACAATAAATACGCGTTTAGTTATTGCGTATTTAATTTAGTATTATAATACATCATTGCTTGATGCAAATGAGGAAATGTTAATATATTCAAACATTGAATTTTAATAAAAGTTCTTTTTTTGAGTGAAAATTCTAATGCGACTTACAAGGTTGCGTTAAACGTTCAACGTGGTGGGGAGGAGGGAAACAGACGTAGCAAGATCAAATGGATTGGTCCATTTTGATTTCTAAGCAATATTTTAAAGTTTGTTTTAAATAAACAATATGAGTTTACTGAGAATTGGGTTCCACCCCTTCCGATTTTCATTTCCACATTAGGAAATTCCACTCCTGCTGTGCAGAAGGACGCACGCACTATTTTTATTTATTTAAGGATGAAAAAAAAGGGGAGGGTTTAGATTCTTTTGGTCAGGCGATGTGACTGCTTCCAATTATTATACTTGGAGATAGTAGACCTCTCGAGAGCCGGACCTCAAAGGCGAAATAGTTTCTGACAGTGAGACAAATAAGTAGAACAATTCTCGTTCGTTCTCACTCATTATTTGTAAGTGTTTAACAAAACGAGATAAGGCTGATGAAATAAATCTCAGAATCGCGACTTGACAGAACAGACACATCGCAAGTTCGTTTAAAATAAATAAAGATATATATTTTTATATCAAAAGTGGCTATCGAGCAGACGACCTACTTGATGGAAGGTATTCACCGTCGCCCATGGACATCTGCTACATAAGAGATGTTGTGAATGCGTTTCCGACCTTATTTTTGCCAACTACACTTTTGATAGCTATCAGCTTCTTTCTTTCTCTGACTAAGATGAAATTTTGTGACCCAAATGGAATTCTAGTCGCTACAATTCATAAATCCTCTTTTTTGTATCTTCAATATCGTTAAACCATATTACTGATATCCAAAAATCTTTGCGTTGGAATTATTTTAAACATTTTATACAGTATACTTCAAACTATAAATAAATTTACATTCGATATTTTAAAACAATTGACATTATAATTTATATGAAAATTATATCCAAAATTCAGCACGACTGTTCATTTGTTAAGGGACTCGAAAAAATATTTTGTATAAATTTGGAAAATAGCATAAAAACTGCGAGACGTTATTTTAAGCTGCTGTTTATGAAAGGCATTAGATCTTTTCGTAGTCTGACTAAAAATTACAAAAAATAATACCAAGAAACCTAATCTTAGTATAAACATCTACAATGTGTATAAGGTTCAACGGATTTATTGAAATAGGTCGCCCTGATAAATATTGTTTTTCACAAGGGTTAATAAATACAGATCACTCAAACAGTATTTTATTATTGTATTATATTCTATATTGACCTACCTTGCTTCGACGAAAAGGCATTTTATAAAGCACAGATTTAAATATTCCACTAAATTATCACCACTTTTAATTCGACACCAATAAAACCGTTATACCAAGATATGTTCGAAGTAACCGAATGATATTCAGATGACTGTACTGATTGGTAGCTCTCGTTAAACTGACTTACTCGATCCGAGGCATTAATATTTAAATAGCAAAAGATAAGATTGTGGCTTGACCTTTGACGTAGTCATTCACAATCAGCACAAACTATAAGACATCACACGATAACGCAGGAAAACTCATCAAAATAAAGATTACGGTTATTTGTGAAATTAAATTGTGCGCACTAATTTGGCGAAATGCGCGGCTCCGACTACGCATGTCCCGATTCCCGCGTCAGGAGCTGTCAAGTGTCATGGCGGCGCGGGCGACGCGTTAGGGTCACTGTCCACACGCGAAACAATTACAATGGAATACGTTAATTTACAACATTAACGATACAGTCTTGACTTTCAAATATATTATGAGAGGCCAAGTTTTTGGAATCTTCATTTATAGCTCAATATGTAGTTTAGTGTCCTACGTGGGTCATCATCAGCTTACTTACTTGCCAGGTTTCGAACCCGCGCCCTCATGGTCTTTAACCACTAGTCCACCACGACATTCCTACGTGTGTAATGCCCTAGAATTTACTTGTAGTATACAACAAATCATATTAGTTTTGAACAAATACAAAATTTGGGTCTGCAGAAGTATTTTATTAACTCTGACAAATAATTTAACATAAAATTAAATAATACATTAAAAGGCTAATAATACTATTCTAGAAAAGAGAACAATCTAATTAATAAAGAGGTGGTTGTGTAAGGGCCTCTCGATCTTCATTCTTGGCATGTTTCTTCAACATGTCCATTATTTCATTGTCAAACTCCTTGGGAGTCGGCTTCTTCTCTACGATCCAGTGGAATATGTCCCAGTCATTGCTCGGAGAGTTGATCAGCCGATCATACATCATGGTTTGATTCTCATTGAAACTATCCAAATATTTTTTGGCAAAAGTACTCAGCAGCAGATCGTTTTCCAGCATGCCTCGCTTACGTGATTGGTAGTGGAGCCTACAAACAAGATACCGACATCAATTTATGATATTCAGCTAGTGATTTATATTTAATATATTATCAGAGATTAAAGTTGCCCCCAACATTATAATATTGGATTATCTGACTAGTGTAGCAAGTAATAAAATTATTCTGATGACATCTAACAGATCATTGCATCGGGACCGAACAAGCAACTTGAGACAATATTACATAATACTTATAGATATTCTCAAAAGTGGGTTGATGTCAGGCAGGCGGCTGGTCGTAAAAAACAATTAGCCGAAACTATCTATAACATGTTCTGTGGAAGAATTATTTTTTCGCAGACCCTGGCTATAGCTGGGAAATTGCCAGGTAGAAGAAGAGAAGACTTATAGACAACCTGTTACACTTACAAAAATCAACAGTATTTGGAAATTATTATATTTTTCCATTTATCATAAGAATCTTTGCACATATTTTTAACTGAATTACTAGATTTAAAGGTGCATACATGCATCAATACTATTTATGTATCCGAATTCTCAACTTTTAGATTTTCATAAATCATATTAAAATAATTGTCTATTTTTCTTTTTTCTGCCAATTACAAACCTTTAACCAGGGTCTGCCTTACATGTTATAAATAGTTTTGGCTAAATGTTTTTACGACCGGCTGCCTGCCTGACATCAACCCTCTTTTGAGAATATTAAAATAATTATGTTTATTATATTTGAAAATTGTTGCTATTGAGTTTTGATTGGTATTTTTAAAGCACAATTAAGATTGCTAGGTCTACTAGTTATACTAAATGATATTTTGAAAACATTTATGTCTGATAAGACTAGAATTTGTTTTGGTTTCATAATTTTTCCGGAGAGCGGTATGTTACCTGGCCTTCCTAACATCTAATGGTTGTGGTTTCTCTACATCATAGACAGGAATCTCCATGTACGTAGTATCAACATCGTTAGTGTTACTCGAAAACGAAGCAGCTTGAACTTTACGGATTAAATTCGCAGCCTGGAAAACATATTTAGACTTAAATGAGTACTCGCGAAAATCTTAGATCTCATTATATTGAGACTTATTTAAAATTTACTGTTTAGTCTGATTAGTAACATATTGCACCATAAATAGCCATTTAAATTTGGAGATTTGTGAATATAAAAATGATTACCAAACGACTGGGACTGCGTAACATTGTGAATGATTTCGAACAGATCTGATGCAAAGTTATTGCGAAACGAGAGTTTTTTATTAATATTCACTTGTCTAAAAATATATATTTTTAAATGTATTCTTTATTTCTTTTTTATTATATGAATTTATGTCAAACAAAATACGTAGGTGCTATCAACTGATTAAATAATTCTGTCAATTGTCAAATGTCAAACGTAAAATAAGCTGTCAAAAGTCACTTTTGACGGAAAGCCAGTTTATGACACCTACGAGGGATTGTATGTGAACCAACTATTTTTAGTTACAAAAAAAAAATTAAGAATTTATTCATTTTTGTGAAGTGACTTGAATATTTTAGTTTAGCATATTTACTAAAGGATGAAATACAAATATATATGCTTACCAAAGGAAATACTCCAACGACTTTTTCTTTACTTAACTTTTGAAATTACTTTCTAAAAGTTTATCGAAAACTGATAATTTTTTTTATTTTGCTCAAATTATTTAAGATTTATTCTTTAAGATCAAAAGCACAAGTACTAATTTTTAATAAATTTTTAAGTCTTTGATTTCCTCCAGATGAAGTGACAGAATTGTAACATGACTCGAAAATAAGTTATATTATTTTATATTAATAAATATTTTTACTCTTAATTTTGTTCAAATATATTTCGATGTTTATTAAAGCGTATGTCCACATTAAATAAAAAACATAATTGTGTACTTTTTGAAAGTATTCAGCCATTAGTTCATTTTAATTAATAAATGGAAAGGCCAGAGGAGTATACATTTTAAAATATTATTAAAAATATAAATTAAATAATTATCTTGAATAGTCTTTGTGGGCTGGATAAAATGCCATATTCTTTATTGTTTAATCATGGAGTGACAATGATATAATAAGTTTCACATAAAATTTGTCTATAGACCAATGGAATTCAAATAGCGTATATTCACCCATAAATTAATAATTAATTTCTTAGTCGAACCTCTAAACAAACACTCGTTGACTTCCTGGTACTTATCAACGCCATCTGCTGTTGTGTCGTTAAATCAATTAGTAAAAGCAATTAGCAAAATAGTATTACTATTTGCCAATAGGTGTCAGGAAGAGTCATATTTTAAACTACTCCTTTTTGTATCTAGCTAGGCATCACTTTTAGAAAAATAACATTTTCTAAAAGTGATCCCTAGCTAGATCCATTTATCACCCCCGAAATCCAATACATACAAATTTCATGAAAATCGATAGAGCAGATTCCGAGATTCCAATAAATATATATACATACAAGAATTGCTCGTTTAAATATATAAGATTTACCTTATGTATATAAAGAGCAAATATTCTTTAACTCGTTATTGCACACAGCGATGAATAGTCAGAGGACTCAGCTATATCCTTATCACTAGTAACTAGTCACTAGTGTTATACTACACGTCACACTCAATACGGTGAATATTTAGTTTTCATTAAAAAAACTGTTCATCATATAGTTTAGACGTAGTTTATGGAACGTATTGAATAAGAATAAATAAGAACGGATAATGCGGGTGCCGGGTCCATCGTGTTGCAGGGAGAGGAGCTTCAACAGCGCCTGGGACTTGCGACCCAGGTGTAGATTTAAGGGGTCCCTATCTAACGCGCGTTAAACACTCACCTCTACCGTTCAACTCCTCTCCCTACTCAACCAAATTTGAAAAGAACCTACTAGGACTGCCTTCGAAGTAAGTTCCAAGAATTAATTGATATTAGTTCTGGACAGGCGCGAGCCTTTTAGAAGTTTGTAGAGTAATTCAGCTGTTATACCTCTCGCTCCCACTTCTACCGCGTACAAATCCACGACGAACCTATTTCGAGTTAGCTCGTTAATGAGCTCGTAATATTTGTTGACCTTGATGGCATGGTCTTTGGGGATATTGGTTTCTCAATGAAACCGTAAGCTCTACCATCACAACGCGCTTTAAAATAAGCGAATTTTATACGTATAAAATATTTAATGTTATAAATAGCAATAAAAAGCAGGAACAGTCAGTGTTTCGTTTAATGGAGCGAACTAATGATACGGAGAGGAGGATTTTAGACACATAGACATCGGATTAAAAAGTAATTGGAGAGAGTAACTTCAGTGGACAAAATTATGTCATAGACGTAAAAAAAATAAAATACTTATCAAACAAATATTACGAAAATATATTGTTATTATAGACATTGCTGTTATAGATTTTGTGTTACAGGCAACTTTTTTTCCTTACGTAGCCTTTTACAATAAGTATTCTATTACTGCGGACACTTACAATTTTGAAATTAATTCAGTGTCCCAATCATTACTATACTATTTGCGCTGTAGCTTGGTGCGGGTGACATTTGCCTAAATGACCTTGATATCTGTCAGTACCATATGACTAGTGATGTTGCGTAATTCATTTTTATCACTAACGATACTCGCAGTATAAATAATATAGTACTTATATAAAATAATTAAAATCAGGTTTATGATTTTTTGAATGAATGATGAACTACGAAAAATTTAAAGATTGGTTCATAAGTCTATTTAATAATTTAAAAGAACCTATGACCATAATAATGGACAACGCACCCTACCATTAACATCGACTATCCGTTGTAGCAGTACATCCCATCACTAAATACGTCTATGGCATTACGTTAAACGCATAATACTTTGCTTAATTTTTCTTTCCATTAGATTATATTTGTACACTACAACATTCTGGTTTGGTTTAATTTAAACTACTTCAGTAATTAATGATTTAATTTGTTACGAATGTGGTACAGCTGAAATACTAAGTCATAATTTGTAAATCGCGGCAACTTTCAAGAGTGAAACGAAACGTTACTGAAACTGTCACCCGCACCATGCTACAGCGCAAATAGTATAAGACTAGTTGCCTCGATTTAAATGCTAGTACTGTATATATGAACTGGTTTCTTTGAATGTAATACAGTATTGTAATGAGGTTAACAGATAATGATTGTGTTTTTTTTACTTCACAATCATATTTCTCGTAACGGAATGATATCGAAGCAGTTGAGTTTGTGTGTTTAAGGTTTAATATTGTAATGTAACTTTGACCACAGTTTAAAAAGTGAATTAAAACAAACTTTTGTTACAACATTTTTATTACAAAGGCACAGAAGAAGAATTTCTTGATTATAAAATATCTGAAATATATTTAACAATATTTGTTCCATGTCATTTATCCTACCTTAGCTAACTTAACTATTTACATAACTACATATTCAATGAATATTCTTTGGGATGAGTTCCTCTGAATGTCTCACACTATAAACTAACTAGAACACATACAAGTAATGTTACAGTAATAGACATGACACACAATAAGTGCAGCGTCAACATGAGACATCACATCTGACAGCCTCCGCGAGCTACCGGCGAGTACAAAGATGACTATATACAAGGAATAGAGTGTGCCTACACAGATATAAAGACTGTAAAATAAATTGATACATAACTATTACATAAGACAATTTGTACATAATTTAAATAAATGCATTTTAAGTAACATATTTATGACATTCCTAAATACATATTAATGTATTGAAATACAATTTGTTTTAGTAAAAAGCTTGACTGGAGTATGAAGGCGTGTTAGGTGGTGCAGGACCTGTAGTAGTCCGATCGCTTGGTTATTTCTGACAGGTAATAGTTCATCTTGGTGTTGAGTTCGCCGATTTCCTTCTCCAGGTCGTTGAGCTGTTCGTTGTGATCGTTGTACAGTTCCTCCATGTTCGCGAGCAGCTTCAACTGACTCTGCGTGTCGCTCGCGAGTTTCGTGGCTCGGTTCAGCAGCAGCTGAGCTCGTTCTCTAGAACTGGAGGTCTGGTTGGCTCTCTCGGTGAGGGATGTGTTCGTCTGCTTGAAGTCCTGCCTCAACTGTCTCGCTTTTTGTTCCGCTCCTTCTGCTTTGTTGACGACGTCATTAGCCTCTTGTTTCACTTGTTCTGCGTCACTTTCTATTTTTAGAATATTTTTCTGCAAGTCTGAAAGCCTCGAACGAAGACCCTCCACCTCATCCATCGTTTCGTTGGCCTTTTTCTGTGCCTTTTCAGTCTCTAATGCTATCGGCAGTAAATCTTCTTTAGCAGCTTCTATGTCTCTATTTGCTTTGTCTATAGCGTTTTCTGCGGCGTCTTGAGCTGCTTGCGCCTCATCCAAAGCCTCTAGAACTTTATTTGCCATCTCAAGAGTTAAGTTCGCTGCTTGGTTGACGTTGGTAGCATTTTGCTTGAGGGCTTTGGCTCTGTCGAGATCAGGTTTTGTTTCTGTTATTATGTTTTCAATATTAGTTAACTGTGAAACAGTAGAATTAATTCGCTGCGACAGTTCAGTTATTTCTTTAGGTTCTATGCTAATAGAGAGGTTTAATATCTCGGTAGCCAGCTGTCTAACTTCTTCCGGTGTATTGTATGTTTTCGATAAGAATTCTTTTAACTCGGATGTTACCTCTTGGCTCTCATTGGTCGCCCTCTCAGCCGACGCTTTGAAATCGATCGCTCTATTAAATAAATCTCTGGCTCTCGATCGAACAGCAACAGTATCTTGTTTCACTTGTGAGACGGACCTTAATAAATCTTCAGCAGTCAATTCGTGCTCCTTTATTCTGTGTTCAGTTTTATTCGCGAAGTCTAATGCTTGTTCTGCTTTGGTGATGGCTCCCTGATCACACGATATGCCTCCACATTTGCCACAACCCGCTCCCCCACAAATATCACAACTGTCACTGTCCTGCCCACACATCTTTTCATTTATTTTTGGTAACTGCATTTCTAGTTCCGTCAATTGCTGTCGTAATTTTTCTAATTCTTTATCATTTTCATTCTGCGTGTTATTAAAGCTACTGTATTGCATTTCTATTAATCTATCCGTGTTCTTTATTTGTCGGTCCGTATTAGCTATAATAGACTGCACACCTTCGGCTTCTTCTGCAGCCTTCACCGCTCTCTCTTTCGCTTCTCGAGTCAAATTTAAGGCCCCCTCTAAA